GTGTATCTTATCAAATTTGGCCAGACAGTTTGAAAACTGGAACACTCCTTCCCCTTATGCAACACAGTGTGGCACAAGCATGCTAACTCCAAGCTGATGCTTACTGCGTGCTCTGTCATTGTATCCAATTTAAAATTTTCTGACCTAATTCAAATCTACTTTTGGGGTTTAGTCAGGAGAGGTGCAGACAGCAAGACATTTACAAATAAAGCAAAGCATGATAACATGGTACAGTGCTTGGAGAGACTATAATAGATAATATCAGGTAGAGGCTTGGAGATGATGATGGGATCAGATATAGCATGTTCAAAGAAGGCATTATGGTCCAATAAAAGGTTTCAGGCTAATCTGAGATGTTAGTTCATGTTTCAAATGAATACTGATGATGCCATAGTATGCCCCTCTGCCTTAGAGCAAGGTGCTTTCACCCCTGCTGTGGTTCAGGTTAACGCTGGTGTGGTTTAACGAGCTTTATCCAGTCTAGCTTTTAGCTAACCGTGAAACTGATCTAGGATGTTTGGTAGTTTTACCATATAAAGCCACAAACTCAAACTGTTTGTTTTTTAAGATCACCCCGAGGTGTGTGCTTGTGTGTTTCCTTGAGCCTTTTGGTGAGTCATTGTGTTGCCTCCTCACTGCGTACAGCATCAAGGATCCCAGCGCACTTTCATCTCCATCCAGCTACATGGCACCGGTTTACCGCTGCCCTCGACCTTTATGCACACCACCTGCCAGATGTTTGTGTGGGTGTCTTCATGGTTCCTCTTTTCCAGGAACACACTTTTCTCCAGCTCCTGTTTATCTCTCTCTCTCACACACACAAATCCTCGCGTGTATGCACAAACACAGATATTCCGCCACTCATTCCACCTTCACTTATGATGGATAAGAGTCTTTTTGTAAACAAAGATTGATTTTTTTTTTTTTTCCAACACCTACAGTGTTTCAACTCTATGTTGAGTCACACATGGGTGCCACCTCTTTAAAAAGCCATCAGCATGGATCTATATCCTAACCTTGTGGAGCCATGTGTATCTGCCTGACTGACCACACAGTGGAGAAGGATGTGAACCAGAAAAGCTCACAGGAATTAAGAGAAAAATGCTAAATTAACTCATACATACTCACACAAGCCTCAACCCAGGAGGTAACCTTTGTGCTTTCCTGCAGAACACCAGCTTAAAAAGTACGTAATTAGTTTTTATGAAGCAGCTAGTCCATATATAGCTACAAAATGATTACCTCTAATGGGTCTTCATTGTGCGTGGTCAATAAAAGAAATTTCACTGCAAGTGTGATATTTTCTATGTGGGATACTTGTTATTCGCAGCACTTTGTAAAGCTAATGTAAGATATTGCCATGACAGCAGTGGTTGCATTGTAGTTTGTCTTTATCTCCTCAGCAACTGATCTTTTGTGTTTAGTCCGTTCATTGATCAGCAAGAATTATATGAGTTTCCATATTCAGATGCCCCGCGGCAGGCAGCAGATGAATGCCCAAGTGGCACTCACACCTTTTCGCACTATTAGCCCCATGCATCATTAAACAGGGCTTTGAAATAGCTGCAATTTCTGTAACCTTAAAAAGATTATCTGCTCATATATCATTCCCACTTTTTGCACAGCAACCCAGCGGGAGAGATTCAGCTCATTTAACCATCCTTGTTTTCCTGTTGTTCTCCACTTGTCATGAGGGTTTCTTACAAATGCTTTAACCAGGCTTTATAAGTAGGGCTGGGTCTTTATTCTGTCACATATACGTTTTTGTAGCATTAGCTGATGCTGGAGCATTATGGCTTCAGCTGGGAACATCAAAAAGGTTGCATTCCTTCTACATCCTTTAAGAAATATGTCATAATCTTAGAAGCTTGATTTGATTTTCCCACGATGATTACATTTTCCTTTGTCTCTATTTTCTTTCAAGAAACACATAGCCACGCTGTAAATATACATTATTACCAACCATATTTAGACACACAAGATCCAAAAGGAATCAATATTAGTCATCCTGAGTAATTAGTTGAGTAATACGAGTCCCTCACCCATGAGTAGATGCATGCTTCCTTCTGCGCAGTGATACGTAGAAAGAAACCAGGTCCATGGATTATCTTGAGTTTCTTGAATTTCTGGAGAGAGACATTGTTTTTTATAAATTATATTCTGGTTACATTATATTTAAGCTGAATTAGTTCACTATTGTAAAAGGCTTTTAAAAGCCTACCTATAGACTAACAAAACGTGTGTGATTTATAAGCTTTAAAAGGGGCTTTCGTCGCAGATTATTAAATAGCATCCAGGCTCTTGTAAAGAAGAGTTTTGTGAAAAGTGCTTAGTTTGTTCAAAAGTGTTAAAGGGATATCTGGACATTTTGAGGGTTAGGGTGCCATCTCCCTGTCTGATGACTTGTTAGCATTGTCAGCATATTTCATTCGAAGCCTGTCAGCTACAGCTTGATGCAGTCCTTCCCCCCCTTATTTAAATGAGGAAGACACTGATAATGAAGAGGAGGCTGCTAAAATCCATTTTTTGCTAATGAACACAACGTCCTGCCAAGAATCCATGGAAGAAAAATAAGCATCTGAGTGTCATAATGTCCTTCCAGTACAGTTACTGTGATCAAACAGTCAAAGCAGTGGCTTCTTGTCTTTTTTCATGTGTTGTTGTTGTAGAAGTGTATAGATTTCTGGAAAATGCCTGAATTCTATGACACAAAAACATCAAAAGAGGTTTTTTTTTCTTCTCACTAACCCTCGTGGCAAAATGTGGTGTGATAGGTCGGCGCTGTAGTGCATCATGACAGTCACACTATTATCTCTGTACCAACATGTCACAACCAGTAAACATCAAGAGCCTCAGTGAGTCAACAAAGGAGTATTTTTCATGGTGGAAGTCTGTCATGACTCATACGATGCTGGATGCTTGTCAGTCACGGACCATCACCTCCTACCCTTGTTATGTACTTTTGTTTTACTGATGAACTAAAAAGTTACTTCTAAAAAGAAAAAGCTGCCACAAATGTCAGCAGATTAGAGAGCTTGGGATTAAACTAAAGTTCTGTCTGATGTAGTTATCTGCATATTTAGGATTTGAGAAAGTTAGGTGTAAAGGTATAAAGTGCAGAAAATGTCATCGTCTCAGAATTGCACTCAGCCAGATGGAAGCTTAGATTTCCAAGGTCATGGTTTATGGATTTTAGGATGCACACTGTAGACACAACTCAAATTTCCTTGGGGCAAACTTTTTTTGTCAGAAAAATCCATATTTTATTAAAAAGTCAATACTTCCTACTTATGACTTTTTTGACTGCCTGCAGTAAAGAGTTATTGTTTTCCATAGATATTTTATTTTTTTTGGTACAGATTCTGAAAATTTAATCTGACATTGTTATTTGGACTCTGTAGTTCCAGAGCATGCCAGCAAAAATTGGGACCACAAAATTAAAAACACCTGCCAGCTCTGCATGTTCTCTGATGTTCTGAGTCTGAGTTTTCTTTTCTACGTGGGTTTTTTCTCATCCCAGTCCGACTTCTTAAAACGAAGATAGTCAGAGGCTACTTTGATGTACACCTCAGTCAGTAATGAGGCAGTTGGATATTTGGGCAAATGTTTGAAGTCATGTTGAGGTTCAATTTTTTACCAAACAGCTTGTATGTTGGTTTTGTTTTACTAACCACGAGTCATAAACTGGTGAAAGCTTTGAGCAGAGTGATGCAGCAGTCGGCCCTTCCTGATTAATTGATGTTCCCCGTCTACCATCAGAAACTTCTTGTTCAATGCTTGTCTTTGGCTCAAACAGACACACCAAAACACCACATAAATCCAGTCTCATCTGTCTGGGTCTAAATCAAACAGCAAAAACAGATTATTTTCAGCTTTGGAGTGGGTTTGCTCCAAAGGCAGACAGTATCTACTTTGTCGCACCATGCAAACACTTTCTACACTTAATACGAATGAAGGGGAAATGAAAGGAGCAGACGATTAATGTCGACTCTTTCACCCTCTCAGGTAAAATGACCGAAGCTGGAGTGAACAATAACAATCTGACAATTTCCACCTTCAATTTACAGTTTGCGGTCTGGCTCTTAGAGCTTCTCTGCTTCATATTGAAACAGGCACACACATTCATCACTTCCCTGATAAATTGGGAGGTAAATCAAGTTTGGAACACATTTGGAACATGTTTTGTTACTTTAAAACTGCTTGTTTTTTAGTTTACTCATAGTTTTGATCTTTTAAAAGCAATAATTGAATAAAGCTCCAGCTATTAGTATTTTATATCAACAACGGGCGACATCCTGGATGTAAGTCCAAATTCATTCTCCTTCAAGTTCTGTTTTGGTCTCCACAGACCACTGAGCAAAATATAAATCTCTTTAAATACCCTACTATGTTCACTAGTTAGCCACTATTGTACTTTGTTTGTCTGCTGTTTGTTGCTGGGCATGTAAGCGTATAGTGGGTTTGTTAGAACTTTTTCACTGAAAACAGCTGCCTGCTGTGACCAAGAACAAGGTTAAGGAGAGGAACTGAGAACTATGAGCTGAAAGACGCTGAGAGACTACAACTCTCCATAGAGCTGAGGAGAACTGCAGCGTCCAATAATTCACTTTGTTAATATCAAAATATTCATAAGTGTAGCTTTAAATTTGGTCTGTTATCCTAAAGAATTTAGTCAGCCATTGTATTCATAGCTTTATAAAAAACTGTATGAAATTGTAATCTTTTTTCATGAGAATAATTTCAGAAACATTAAATTAATTAATTCACATTCAAGTAATAAAAATGTGTGTCTGGTCCTCAGTGATGATGTTGCAAAAACTCCACATCAGTTAGCTTTTTGGTCATTAATTTCATGGCCATAACACCCTCATCTAGCCAGGCCCCACTCTTCTCCTTCACTCTCTACAAACCATGCTGCTAATGCTAGTGTTACATTTACATCAACTGCCACCATCATCCATGCATCCCTTTTTTTCTCTGCTCTCTTCTGCCCCCTGCAGGACAATCCGGGAGCACTTGGGGGAGCAGGAGGTCTCCATCTCTCTGACCATCGACTCCCTGGAGGAGAGCGACCTGGGCAACTACTCCTGCTACGTGGAGAATGGTAACGGGCGGAGACAGGCCAACATCCAGCTCACAAAGAAAGGTGAGGCGAGCACACAAACAATGTGAAAAATACAGGTTTCATTTAAAGCAAATACAGTATTTTACCATGCATCTAGCAGATGGATATAGAAACCTTGATATTTAATAATGGCATGTTTCAGCTTTGGAGGTGAAAAACACCATTTAATACCACAGGCCTTCGCTCTGACAATAGAGTGAATCTCTCGCAGCAATTTATGGAGTACAAAGAAGAGCCACTAGTGGGATTGTGGGAATTGACCAGTTGTTTCTCGCCTCGGGGAGGGGAAAAAAATGGGACAGTATTGTAGATAGTGCAGAAAGCCTATTCATCTACTTCAGCCTGAGGAAGTATTAGTTTGCAGAGAAAGAAAAGGCGCTTTTGGAGAGAGGCAGCCTTCGGTGTTAAGATGCCACACAAGCTATTTGACTGTCTGGCTATGACCTCCCCCATCACACACACACGCACACAAATCCTCCTTTGATCGACGAACTCTCACTCACACATGTTCTCATCATTCGTCACTGGCTACTGTTGCCTTTCCCCCAACCCGTTGTCTTTTTTATTCAAGCAAACATGAGTTTTTCCTCTGATTTCGCCTCACTGAGGATTATTACTGTTTAAAAGTTGATCCCGTGATGATTTTAAATAGAGATTCACACTTTCTAGTGTGGTTATATAAGTGATTTTTATTTTTTTTAGCAAGGCTAGGGGGGTCTCTGCATCCTTAAAGTTGTCAGTGTTGAATACATTTACATAGTAAGATATTTTCCCTCTCTTTTAAGCTTGCAGCTTTGGATCCAGCTTTGATGGCAGCCCAGTTCTCCTCCATTTGCTATATTAAAGAGGTTTATGCTGCACAGTGGAATCTCAGAATAAACCGGAGAAGATTAGCCTGGTCCTTGCAGGATTGCGGGTCTACAAGAAATCAGCCGGTTCACATGTTTTTTTATTTGCTGCTGTGGTATGGCACAAGCCCAGACAGTGTTTACACCGTCTTTCAAAGTTTTCCTCACTTGTCTCTTGAAGCTGTGAAAACAGCACATGACACTTCAAATGAATTTGGTCGCCTCAGTGCAGCATCAATCAGAATATGTCTTCACTTGTATGTAAAGTTAAGATGGAGATGCGTCCTTATTTCCACTTCTTGTACAACTTCTCGTAGTCAAGAAGTTGTGATTCTCCGAGTCCTCCTGACCAACTTTCTTTCAGGAGCAACATATCTTCAGACATTTTTTTTTCTCTCATAACAGCAGCACCAACATCAACTAGCAGGCAGCTGCCTATACTGTATATGATGCTCTTTATTTGTGAACATAAGAGACAACTGTTACAATCCTCACTGCTGCTCTCCACTGTTATATTTTACCATTCAACCCCTACTCTGCCTTTTCCTCTTCTCTCTTTTAATCTCCGTCCCTAGACTACAGAGAGAGAGAGAGAGAAATGCAGAAATCGAGGGAGAGAAAGGGGTGATGAATAGCCCGATGCCATGTGGCTCCATCAAATCCAGCCTTCTTGTCGTCAGGAGCTAATTTGTCCTAATCCGTCCCACTGCAGCGCTGCTACAATATGGATGCCAGGCAGAGAAGAATTGGCCTCCTCCGCTGTAATCTTTGCTGCTTGAGGAGCAGCTGGCTCGTTATATTGTCCAGATATCTGAAGAGAGAGAAGCAGTGTTCGCTGGGCCGAGAGGGCAGAACGGAGGTGGAGAGGACAGTGAGGGAGAAGTGGAGTTGCAGTGCTTGTTAGCCGCAACACCTCTCTCAGAGAAGTGAACTAATTCAGGATGATTCCTAGGCCGAGAGGAAAGAAAGTGAGACAAGAAGAAGAAGTCAGAGGCTCAGTGGGGGAAACCTGTGTTCATTCTGCCCTGAGTGTGTTTGCTCTTTCGCTTGCGTACGTGCACGTATGTCCGTCCGTAAGTTTGCCTGAAGGTCGTCGCCCAGACAGGCGTGATGAAGCGGCGCGGGCCACGCTCGTTAGCTCTATAGAACATCATCCTTCATCATGGGAGCTGTCAGCCCGATGGCCGCTGCAGTGGAATGGGCAACGCGCACTCCAACGAGGTTAAATGTGCATCGGTGATGGATGGCGATGTGCGCGAGTCCTCTCCGTCCATGTTTGTGTGTGTGTGCAGCATTGTGGCGATTCCAGCCTTTTACTGTTGTCCATTAGTCAGCCAATGAAGGCTGACCACCCAGATTTTGTGAGGCGTAGCCAAGAGGAAATGTTGAACTGCAAAAGATGGAGTGACATCCGACAAAAAACACTGTAAAAAAGAAAAAGAGCCTTGAAAAAGAGACAAGATCATGAAAAGACAAAGCAAACGACTTAGTTTTCAAGGCAAGTTACTAGACCATGGAGCTTAATGGTTGAGTCCATTGTCCTGTAGTGTAAAATATCACCTTTCATCCTCCTCAATAACACTACAAGTTTGGCTTCCACTGAAGAGTTTTGTCTTGTGGACCTTTCTTAAAACACCACAAGTAACGCGATTTAGAATAATCTGTTGTGTAAAACTGAAATATCAACAGTGAAGTCTGGCAGCTCCTTGAATTTAGCTCCCGCTGATGCTTTTCACAAGCTCACGTCAGGCTACAGTGATGACGGATGGCGGGGGAGAGTGGACCGCTTCGATCTGTCGACGAACAGGCAGTTCAACTAACAGCCAGGAGCTTTTCCTCGCCTCCCACCTCTCTGCAGCCGTACACGCATGTAACCGATCTTCATAAGTGTGGCAGTCTGATCTGTCACATGCTATTGTCGCACTGGTTGCCTCAATGTGATTTTTTTATTATCCAATCAAGCCAGGAGGCAGTAAGTGACAGGTATAGAAGTGGTTGTACCTTTATTCCGGTTGGAGTTATGTGTCATCTGGATACAATTCAAACACAGTGTGAATATGAGCAATGTGAAAAAATGGAGAGGAAAAGCAAAAAAAATACAATCATAGACTGAATGAATACAGCCGCAGGAGAAACATATAGGCCTAAGCCTTTTTCAAGCAAGTGCAGATGTGCTGCACAGTCAATTCACCGCATAGAATCTTTGAACAATAGCTAGTGCAACTTTTCTCATCCATCATGACTGTATCATGCATTATTTCACATGTATTGACGTTCTGCAGTCAGATTTTGCTCAAAGTGTGATCTGGTGTTCGGGCTCCTGTGGATGCAGGCTGACTTTAATGTACATAAGAGCTGAGAAATAAGATGGAGAGGATGTGTAAGTGAGCAACTCTCTTGAGTTTTTGTAGAATCTGAGAATAAATATAGTCTCACAGCATCAATTGTCTGCATTTAAAATGATAAATGTGACAGTAAAAGGGGTCGTCTTTCATACTATTCACGCCTTTTTCACACTAAATGCTTCGTGTGATAGGCAAGTTATCTTAAATATTCTTTGTTCAGATAGTTTCACTTGACTAAAATCTCCTTTTTTCTCTCCCTCCCTCCTATGTTTGCCACATTAGCAGAGCTGATGTACACAGTGGAGCTGGCCGGAGGTCTGGGAGCCATCCTGCTGCTGCTGATCTGTCTTGTGACGCTGTACAAGTGCTACAGGATCGAGCTCATGCTCTTCTACAGGAACCACTTTGGCAGTGAGGACATAGATGGAGGTGAGATGAGATAAGGAGCAAGGCGTAATTTACTTTACACCGTTATATAATAATCTTCTGTAATCTGTGATACCACAGTGTTTGCTGTTTAGTGGAGGATTTCTAAAGTGCCTTCCACTGCTGTGAAAGCATCCTTTCTCTCCTCCAGGAGGAATCGAATCCCAAACCTGAGCAGTATCAGTGCTGCTCCGCATGCATATTTATTTTTACTCCGAAAGCACCTGGGCTATTTTTCATATCTTAAAGCTGCATGTGGCACTATTTTTATGTAAATATGCACCTGTTTTATCAGTTGAAATGACACAGAAAAGAGCCTCCCATCGTTCCTAACTCAGAAAATTCTGTTGTCAATTTCAGGGAATCTTCTCAACCCGTTGGAAGAGCTAAATCAAAAAATTGTATGCAAAATATTCTGTAAGCTGTCTCCTGAACAGCAGCAAACAACTCTCCAGTCTTTGATGTGGATCCTTTTCTTGTCACATTTGCATCCTTATAAAAACTAATCACAAACCAGCCTTGTAAAAATGCTCATGCTGAGTGCTGTTTCCTGACATCACAATGCATGACTTTTGGGTAATGAAGTTCAGGTTTTCAAACAGTTCTCTCTCACTGCGCTTCAGAGCCCCCAGCGGGCAAAGTGGCCGAGTTTAGCTTTAAAAGAAAAACGCGGCCTTGATCACTTAAACACAGTGAATACAGCAGCTGCTGCTGATTTGCTTTGTATTTTAGGGTGTATTTGGTTGTTGTGCATTTTTCTTATTCCAGTGGATAACCAGTGAAAACACAGGCAGACATAATGATGTGAACACATTCTAGTTAACAGTATTTGTCAGGCCCCAAAGATCCCCTATTTGCACAGTACATGTCACTGTCATGTTGTGTTTTGACTGATGCATCTACTTTGGGCTATTTGCTAACTGGCATTCAACCTAATATGAAACACCTCAGCACCAGTGATTCTTCTGAATCAGTTACTAGACAGTTTAAAGGACCAGTGTGTAGGATTCAGTGGCATCTGGTGGTTAAGATTGCAACCATCTGAATACATCTCAGTCTTGAAAGTGTAGGGGACAACTACAGTGGCAGCGAAACTCGCAAAAACATACTTTCCTCTCTAAAGCCAGTGTTTGGTTTGTTTATTCTGGGCTACTGTAGAAACACGGTTCAACATGATGGATTATACACTTAAAATAAAAACATTCCTTTGAATGTTATATTCCATTTCTGCCAGTAGATCCTCCTAAATTACCTAATTTACACACTGGACCTTTAAGTGCTTTTATCTGAGGTGTTTATATTATTTAATCCAGCCTGTATATTTCCAGAGCAGCTACACTCGAGTCACGTTTTGATGTCAGTGCCTTTGAATCAGCAGCATTAGCTTCAAAGCATCATACTGGGGCATGTCTGTTATGGTAGAGACATTTTTCCGATGACAATATCCTCAAAACACCTTAAAATCTCAAGACCACTGCCAGTACAGTTACTGTCCACACTGCTGTCAATACCAGGCATTTGCAGAAGACACACAGCTCTGGTGATCGCTTGTTAAATCTGGCTTACACTGCAGTAGAGTTGGAGGTGAATAAGGAGTAGGCCATTGTACACAGTGAGACAGACTTTCCTGTTTACAAATGCCTTGGCTCTGCTTATTGCACCCAAACAAGCTGCCAGTTTTTATTTATTGTGAGCATCTTTCCACGGGTGCCAGTGAAAGGGCGAGGAGGAGGGAAGTCCTATTTGAAAGCAGACACACAGCAGTTTAAAATGCTTCCAGACAATTTTACAACTCTGCAAAGCTTTCACATGGACAATTATTTTATTCTCCATTGTAATCATTGTAAACAATAAACAGTTGAATTATAAGGAGGTAGTTTTGGTCAAAACGCGGCCCAGGTGGTGATGGTAGTTTTTGTTGAAAGGGGAAGTTATTGCACCAGTGTTGCTCTTATTGTTGTTCTCTATGCTCCATCAAACTGAAAATTCACAGTTGAGCAGAATTCTGAGGAAAACATTAAATTAAGCGTGGTTTGGTTGTGATTCTATGTGTGCAAACTGCACATGAACAAGAGCAAGAGTGAAGGGATAGTATATTCTGCTGAACACTCTCTATAAAGCAAATCACAACACTGTCCCTGTGCCAGACAAAAACATTAACTCTGAGGCCCCATCAGCAACAGTAAAAGAAAAAAAAAACCTCTGATTGGGCCTGGTGGATGAGTCTTGGTTTGAGAATGCATCAAACTGAGACAAGGAGCAAGTTTTAATTTGATTCCCCTGTAATGAGTCTCTCAAGTACCAGCGCAGCAGTGAATTCAGGGGGAATGAGATTAGTTCAGAGCGGCTGAGGGACTGTACGTAGTGGAAAGAGAGACAGCAAGAGAGTTATGAGCGTTAAAAGGTAAAAAGTATTCCCTGCTCCTCTCCTCATACACTCCCAACTCTGCTTAACTGTGATGGCTGCTCCATCAGACATTTCATTGAAAGTCATTACCTCTGGCTGTGTTGGGCTTCCGGCCCCGGAAAGTGGAGCTTTGGCGTAATGGATGGCCCAGAGGCAGTTGTGTTGAAAAAGGGAAGGGAAAAAAAAATGTCGGGCCTTGAACTTAATGCCAAACAGCAATTGTCTCCTTTAATTGTGCAACCCGAGTGAGTGCTTGAAGAGAGAAACAGATTTTCAATTTGTTCTCCAGTAGAAGGGGATCAGGTTCAATAAGACACAGCACGCTGCCTCCGAAGCTCTCAGGAGACCCCTGATACTTTCCTCCACGCCGCGGTCGATTAGATCACTTCACTGCCACCTCTGTGTGCGCACCTGCACCTCGCAAGTCATCTCTGACTTCCAGTGACGTTGCACTGCAGGTGAATGGAGAAGGATAAGGCATTAAATAGGAGCCAGGCTGGAAATGGTTGCCAGTTGAGCAGAGTCGAAACAGTCGCTAAGCACTGGCAGGAGGTGGTTAACCGAGATCCCATCTCTATGGTAACCGCTGCACTGACAGGGAGAAGTAGCTGCATGTAAGATGTAGTTGCACACACACACACACACACACACACACACACACACACTTTTCATTAATAAAGCCCTTAAGCCAGTGTCTCGGATGCACAGATTTTTTTCTCACAATATAAATCTGAACACACTGCCAAGAAAGTGCTTGTGTTTCATTGTGGCCACTCAAAGAACTAATTGAACGCCTGCCTCCCTCTTCTGCCAGATGTAAAATTGTAAGCTTTACGTAACAATAAGAGGGACTGTCAGCTATTTGTCAGCGGCGCAATTTAGTTAAAGACCACTCAGTTGTCACATTGTGTGGGTGTCAGTGGAATCAATAATAGGCTTCATGATGACAACAGCTGAGCGAGCTTGTCAAGGAGGTGGGAACTCATCAACACTCTGCCATAAATACGAATGTCAGTGTTGTCAGCGTGGTGCGGAATTGTGAGTCTCCGTCTGTGTTCAGTGTAGTTTGGCGATACCAAGCATTAATGGTTTTCACATCTCCCGCTCGCAGCAACTGTAATGCATCCCGTTTAATTTGCATATTTAAGATGCAGAGGTAAGCATCACCAAACAACTCATTTGTAATCAGAAGGTCAAGTGGTGTCCTCTGTTTCCAAAGCGATATTGTCAGATATAATAAAAGAAAGAATGCACTAAATAGCTCATGTGTGGGCGAAACATTGATCATCACACATTATTTTCAGAATATGAAAATACATAATGCTGAAATTAGTCAGTTAATTTATTGATCTTTAAGGCGTTCAGGTCATTTATCAAACATAAATGCCAATCGTTCATTGCTTCCAGCTTATCAAATATGAGGATTTGCTGCTCTTGTCTGATAATACTGTATTTAAATACTTTTATTTTGAAATGTTGGTCGGACAAAACAAAACATTTGAAGGAGTTACCTTGGACTCAAGATGATGAGCCTTTGGAAATTCTAATTTCCTTGGAAAAAAAGCTCCTTTTAAACAAGAAAAAACATGAATCATTTATTTCAAGTTGGAAACTTTCTATATTTGTTGAGGAGCAGTTAGCATTATTATTATGGAGCACTGTTTTCTCTACAGTTAGTACCAAATTACATAAAGTTCTTTCACCTCTTGGAAATGATTCAGAAAACAAAAACCAGGAATTGCAAAGCAATACTTTACTTTTTTCTTACAGTCTATTTACTAAAGAATTAATTGATAATGTAAATAATAGCCTTATATACAGTTGGAAGTTAATTAGTTACACCAAGCTAATGCAGTGTAATTCAACCTTCATGAAGTTCCTAAGAGGTGTTATGGTCATTTTGGTAGCTGTAGTTGTGTTGTGTTATACTGGTTATGTTTCTAATACAACGTGAACTATGATATTTCAATAAGCAAGAAGAGCACCAAGGACCAAACTACATTTTTAAACAAAATTCAATCATTGTTTCTCGAAGGCAGTCTGCTTTCTACAGTCTGATGCAAAGCCATACTCCTCTGGCAAAATTAAATTATGGAAAACAAAATTGTATGTTTAAAAAACAAAGTGCTCAGCTCCTCATTAGCAGTCCACCCCATGTGCTTTGCTTTTGTAGCTTCAGAGTTAAGTATGTGTGTTACCTCCAATCTACTCTCCATTAAATGTAATGGAGCCCAGAGATATCCCAGAGATTACGCCTCCAACTCTCTTGGCGCTCTCCACCGCAAGTTCAAGAGTTCACAATCTAACTGTGGGCTCTCTGCACATGCAGCCCCCCACCCCCCCCCTTCCCTTCAAGTACAGTGAGTGCCAGTCAAGCTGCAGTTGCTGTGTGGGACGGAGGAGTGCTGGATGCTGTTTCGGAGGTGTGTTGCACCCTCAGATATACCTCAGCAGTCTCCTGTAAGGAGTGACTCCTCAAGATGCGAGAGGAGGGAGGAGGGTCATTCCGCCTTCGAGATTCACCCTCTTCCTCTCCCTTCTCTCTCTTTTCTCACTACAGACGAGTGAATCAGCTCCACTGAAATAGCCCTTGATCTGCCTACACAGCTTTCATTTAAAAGCTAGCAGAGAAAAACAGAGAGGGAGATTTATGTCAACGTGAAGTAGAATATAAGCCTCAGAGTTAGTTATACTAAGTGATTATGAGGTTACATTTCAATTATTTTTACATGTCCCTGATGTTGTAAAATGAATTGCACGTTATAAAATGAGTTCGATTAATTACATGGTGTCGTGTAAGAGTGGTGAGCACTTGCCAAATATCAAGATTACCCACCGGGAAGTGAGTGAATCTTGTTGACAGTCTCATAGCCCCGAGAGAGGCAGCAGTGTAAAATGGAGAGGATATTAAAAGCTTCAAAAGTAGGATTCTGTATTGAGAATTGATCCCAAAATCCCTCCTCTCAAACCCATCTGCTTTTCTGCTTGTCTTGACCCGACACTCTCATCCTCAGCTCTTTTCTGCTCCGGCGTCTTGTACGGGTTGAACACCACCTCACGGCTCTTGCACTGCAGGTGGCCACTATAAAGCAAAGGGAGCAGAGTCATAATGAAGGCAGGAACTCAAAGATCCAAACCCTGCTCATGTCTCTAATGAGTTTAGCTCAAAGGCTGCGTTCACACTGCAGTGTCCCAATTCAGATTTTTCCCACCCTTTGTGGCACAGATATGAGATGGTTTTAGTGAATAAAGAAACACATAGAATCTAATATTTTAGTTTCAGATGAATATTACCCCAAAACCTGTTGTTTGCTGATTTCATCTCAGCATTCAACAGAATCTCCTCCATGAAACTGACTGGTTAACTCAGCACTGTATGTGAGTATCACACATTGCCACTGGGTGTTGGACTTCCAGGAAACCCCAGACAGTTCGGATTGGTGGTCACACCTCCTCGACTCTATTGCTCAACACTGGAGCCCCTCAGGGCTGTGTGCTCAGCCCCCTCCTGTTCACGCTATACACCCATGAGTGCATCTCCCGACATGGAGACAACTCTGCACAGCGCTGCACAGAAAACGACCTACTGCTCAGCACTTCATCATACAAATTAGTTTTTTTTTTTATTTGTATGACTCATTAATCAATTTGTATTTTGTTTTTTAAAAGCAGTATAAAGGGAACTATATCTAAATTCCATTCTATAACCCTGTTTGAATCCTCCAATATGACATACATTGTATCTGTTTTGCGGCTGAATAATTGAATAACTGGCGTCTGACTCGCAGAGAGTTTCAGCTTAATGCGCAGACGATATGAGTTATCCCCCTTGAAAACATTCTGCCTCCACCCTAATGCAATGGATTTCACTGGAATTTAATTTGACCTTCTCAAAACACAGAAAATTCACATTTGAGCCCTTTTCAACGATCCTCCATTGTGCTGGGCTGGATTCAGTAACATGTTTCTGCAGCAACCAACAATGGACTAACACTGACTTTAGATAGAGCCTTTCACGTTTTTTTTTTGTTTGATGGCCACCGTAGTTTCCACTTCACTTGAGGTGAGTGGTTTCAGTTGGTTGCAGTCTCACCGCTAGATCCCACAAAATCCTACACACTGGCCCCTTAAGTGAAATCAAGGATCACTCTAATTGTAACTGTATTCAATTGTAACACCATAGCATAATTAACTGAATCCATTGCAGATGCTTGCAACCATCGTTATGAATGGTGTGCCATGACTAAACATACAACAGAACACAACAGCCACCTCAGACTTTACCTAAACACCTTAGTGGAAGTCTGCGTTTTCCAAGTTCTAGTGGATGAAGTGGTTTGGTTGTTCAGTGAGCTTTTGAGTACAGTTGTTACTGTGCCAGAAGATTTTATCTCCTCCTTGTAGTAGTCGGAAGCTCTGGCCATATCTCACTTCCACGTATCATTTCCACCTTCATGTTCCATTGTACTGAAGTCCTCCAGTTTAACAAGAAACATTCTTAAATCTTCCCTCACTTCTCACTTTCCGTCCCTCCGCTCAGTCCTTTCAAATCCGTCATCAATCAGAGCTTTCATGTGGGTGATGGAGCCATGCCATGCTTTCGGCCTAGCAGGCAGTGTTGGGCATTTAGCTCAGGCTGGAGTCTAATTTGTTTTGCCTGCAGTGGGCAAAGTAGCTATCAAGGTAACATTATTCGTCAGTGGGGACGGAGCTGTAATGAAAAGCACTCAGATGGGCAGAGGTGCCCAGAGGTCAGTGTAATGGAGGCGTCCTGTTTCAATGAAGTCTCCCAGTGAATGAATAGCTCTCTGTGCACTGGTATGAAAATAGATTGTGAGCATCTGGGGTATCTCAGTGCATAACTTTGCTGAGCAAAGCAGGAAACATTATGTTCAAATCATAAAGCATATACACATTTAATTGAAGCAAAGTGGTTTTGGGAGCTTTTTCATGCCCATACATGAAGTGTTGCAAGTATTCAAGGGAACAGGCTTTCTTTTATTCAGTTGATGAGACCCAGGCTTTATTTTCTCTCTCTGCACCTGCTTGATAGCAGGGGTTATAAAAGTAAATGAAACGGTTTGAAGGATCTGAGGACGATTAAGTCTGGCTGGTCTGCCTGGTCGATAACGGGAGCTATGATATTCACCCATCTCCGTGTCTGCCCCCCCCCCCGCAGATAACAAGGACTACGACGCTTACCTGTCCTACACCAAAGTGGACCCGGACCAATGGAGCCAGGAGACCCGAGAGGAGGAGCGTTTTGCCCTGGAGATCCTCCCCGACGTGCTGGAGAAGCATTATGGGTATAAACTCTTCATTCCAGACAGGGACTTGATCCCCACAGGAAGTAAGCTCTCTCTCTCACGGCGATGTCACGTTGTGTCGAATGTTTTGTCGCTTGGTGTTGCTCGTGCTGCTCGTGTTGTCAGTGCAGTGGTGACATGCCTTGTTTGTGGTTTTCTGTTATGCATCTGTGTTGTGGCATAACTAGACCTGTAAGACCATCATTGATTTAATCTGATCATTATGAACTGAGCTTTTTCTAACCACGTGGATCAGTTTACTAGAAGGTGGCATTTAGGGGTTCTTTAGTTTATATTTTTGCAGAAAAATAGGAAAATAATAGGAAATAAATGTAGAAAGATATAATTTTAGATTATTTCTTTCATTTCAGTAGTTTAATACAACTGCTGATAACAGACTCCACTCATATTTACCTGCTTGTTAGCAATATACTGTATTTTAAAGGGGGCAAAGTTGCAAATATGGCACATGGCAACGCATACATCACAGCATGAGAAAAGACACCTAAGACAGTTCTCAACAGTTAGCACATCCTTCCAGTGTTGCCATTCTTAAAGCAGTTTCCAGGTGCTGGGTAACAATAGGCTGCACAAATGAAGCAAAAAAAAGCACCGGCACGCTGCTATCTTGCTCCTACTTCTTTGATTCTGCATGTACATGTTTTCAATCACAAATGGTCTCTCTCAGGTGAAGCCTGGGGACAAGATAGCAGTGTGCAGGTTTTTTCTCTGTGTTGGTACTTCTGTAGTTGCCAGCTGAGTGAGTGAGTGTAGACTTGTTAGCAAGGCAGCAGAGGAGCTGACACAGTAACTAACCTAACCCTGGATAAATAGGTCAAATAGCTAGCTAAAAAGAAGCAGTTTGAATAGTCACCAAAAAAGGAGCGGATAAATGATTGACATAGATACACAATTGAAACAATTAGCTAAAAGCAATAGATTAATGTCAGAAGTTAGAGAAAGGTAATGAACAAATGGTTGAAATGTCCAACCTCTACCACTACAAGTGGCAGTAGAACAAATGGCATTTCAACTGTATTAAAAAATATTGTAACAACATCCACTGTTATATGATTAATAAAATACAGTTCAAATGAACACATGAGGAACATGACGGGTGATCGATGAGGAATCACTGCTAGAAGTACCTCCAAACATCTTTTTGGCTCTTCAAAGTATCCCAGTGTTCTTAGCAGCACCTCTGAAGAACCCCTGAAGTTTAGTTTGGCTTTGTGTTAATAGTTCCTCCCTGTAGTAGTGCTCATGCCGTACAGGGAGGCCGCATATTAAGAAACAGGGTTGAAGAGCAACTGATCATGAATCCAACAGACATAGAAAATGAAATGTTGCGAACTAATCTGTTATAATCATCTGACAAAAGTGAGAGACAACATAATAGAAGCTCAATTCACCTGAGAAATGTGCTGATAAAAGATAATAGTAATGGAACACTATTTTATAATTACAGTACAGTTTTTAGCCCGTACATGTGAATAGATAAATAGATAAATCATACCTGACGGAAAAATAACTTACCGGTAATTAGAATTTGCCTGTGTGGTGTAAAGTCACTAAGTACATTTAGTCAAGTACTGCACTAGCGGGAATATTGCACTTACTTTAACAACATGTATTTGACAGTTATAGTCACAAGTTACCTTGCACGTTGAGGTTATTCATACACAACATTTAATCGTCTTATAAAATATGGTACATTGTTATGTACTAAACTACCCACAAGTATATAACAAAACTAGATGCATCATTAAAATGCTTCCTGCTCTTGATACATTAGTAATAATGAGGCAATAATATACCTATGGTCTGTGACAACATTTGAGTTCAGTCTCTGCAGCCATAAACGAGGAATTATGAAAACCTTTACATAATTATGTAAAAATACTCAATCAGGGTCTGGACTTATTAGTTGGTTATTCATGTGCCCAAGTATTTAAAATGCATTATATACACTATGTAAAGCTTGTGGGAGGTATAATATCCCATATTACATATGCAGTATAATTAGCAGAACGAGCCAACCCTATTATTACAGTTCATGTTCCTGATCCAGCTCCATACATACTGTACCTCTGCATGCTGCTGTGTGATGCTGTCAGCTGTACAATCAAAAAGCTCTTTATGCATGGATATTAATGCATGTTCTGCAACAGTATATTTCTAATGGAGCGTCTCTCACATGCCCCGTGCTTATCTTTTGATTAACCCATCATCACAACGATGAGTTTGATAATATCATTATGTTATTAGCCTCCATTTGAATACTTGCATCTGCCTGTCTTCGCGCACATGCCGCCATTACTAATTATGTTCCTCTTGAGTGGCATTGTGCCAAGGTTATAAACTGAATCCCTTGCTGTGATTATGTGCTCGATGCAGGGGGACTGTTGTAATATGGGAAAAATGGCATAAAAATGCAAGGATTGAGAGGAATCTGAAGTGCGTCTGCAGCAATTCCAGCTCGCTGGCTTATTGTGCCTATGTATGAACATTTAGTTCCCATTGGGAATGTATTAGCATCTCAACTGTCGATATAATAAAGCATAATCCACTGCCATAGATAAACACAGTTTGGCCATTTGGGGTTTCAGTATGTGCCAACAATCCTTCTCCTGAGCTGCTGATAAGTGTTATTCCACAGCATGCTGGATTATTTTAAACATCTCACCACTCTGATAGGTGTCTAATGTACATTCAGTCTTTATTAACATAAAGCAGCCGAAGTACAACCTGGCTGAACTCCTGCCACCTAAAATGAAAGGCTTTTCCTTGTCTTTTTTATGCTACATGTCCCATATTAAACTGGAATAAACTGGTCAGCGCGATTACCGCCTTACAATCGCCAGTGAAACACCAGTTACAGAAACACAGTTTATGCCAGAGCCATGTCCCCACATTGACAGAACTGTTATTTTTTTTTCAAATGCCTTTCTGCAAATCTTCTGATCATACTTTGAATGTAAATATCTGTTTAGGTTTCACCAATGATCATTTCCAGGATGACACAAGACTACTTAGAGGTACTTTTTTTCCCCAGATTTTTAACGCTCGTGTCAACACACACTGATACTGATTTTCTGACCAAATCAGTCATGTAGAAAGTAGTTTTGGTAACAATTTGTAATAAGTCGTACTTTTTAAGGCTTTATGAGTTGTTACTAATGGCTGTATTAGTGCTTAATAAGCTAATAGTCTGCTCAGTAATAAGCCTTGGGCAGCTTACTCCATTAATAAAGCCATTATTTACAACTTATAAAGACTTCATAAAACATAAATTATTAACTGTTTTAGTAGAATTTGTTTCATTTTTCACTTGCATTAACTTGAATTAAAGATAAGTTATACAGTTTGTTTTTGTTTGATTAGGAAATTAGATAAGTGGGGTTTACTGCACCTGAATCAAACAGATATATCCCAGAAATAACTCAAAATGTTTTTGTTTTTTTTGTCTAAACTTTATACTGCCCTACAAAAGCAAAAACATAGAAACTGCATATTCGGTCAAAATCGAGTTATAACCTGTATCTGACTTTCTGACATCTGTTTTACTATATAATTGCACTAATTCAGTTCATGGAGAAAAACAACAACAGCTAAACTCCTGCTAAATGTAGCTAGCTCTGCAGATCTCAATAGCCGTCACTAACTGGCACTTATAAAGTTCCATGTGATTTGGTGTGGTAAGGCTATCTTTATATCACATTCTTGTAAATTGTAAATGAATGTACAGTATTACATTGATTTCAACAATATGAAACATATAGAAACATATTGAAGTTGATTTTCTTAAACAAACTAGTTAATATGCATAAGAAAGCTGAGAGACCACATACTGCAGATTCTGTGAGTAGATTATCAGAGTGCCATATCTGTGTCTGTATTGTATGGGTTCTATGGTAGTATTTGGGGGTACAAGACTCAACCTGAAAAGACACTAAATGAAAGCATTACAACCTCTCAGGTTAACAGTTTGCTGTCAAGCCTGAAAACTTAAAACCCTTTTTTCTCAACTTCACTGCTTCTGTAGCTGCTGCGCTGTGCCAGTGTAAAGCAGCATAGCTACACATGATCCCACCAACCAGACATCAGACACTTCTTTCCACCTGGAATCATGACGCCTCCTGCGTGTTTGAAATTCAGGTGTAAGCACAACCTATAAAAATCACATCAAGGCACAATCAGGACAACAGAGGCATGAGCTGAACTGAAGGGAGGAGATGAATTTCAGATGAATTTCATTGTGATCTTTTAGTCTGTTGTGTAGTGGCTCAGGAGAGTTGTAAGTGAAATGTCACAACCTCTAATCTTCCTCTGTGGCTGTTCTTTGCTGGAACAAAACTGGAGTTACTGGTGCCAGCAACTCAATTTGAGCAGATTTCTGCTGCGTGGAAGATGGAAGTCAGGCTTTCCCAGCTGTTAAATTACATCCTCATTGCAAGTCAATGGGTTACTGGTGAAAACCAGAAATAAAATATGGAGGAAAGATGGCTGGAAAAAGTTTTCACTGACTGACTATAGATGCCATTCTAGCTACTTAATGCAGGGAACTAAATGCAACTTTACATTTCAAATTACTTGTTAGATGATATACTGAATACCAAAATAATGTTAATTAGAGCCAGAACGATATATTGGTTGGCTGATATATCAGTATCAACTTTGGCCTTATGCAGACATATCTTATCAGTATCAACGTATATGTTATCTCAAATGCGCTGATATAAAAACAGTTTTTTGCTGGTATATAATGCAGAAAAAAATACTTCAAAGTACACTGGAGAGAAGAAGGAGCTCTGAGCAATGTCAACTAGAATTCTATTAAATTTATTTCGTCAGAAGTTTGAATTTCTGGCAGTCCATGTCATCAGTTGCCACAATGGGCTTTTCCCATTTAACAAATTTGAGAGAAACTATAGAGAGCAGGGGCAAAAGTGGTTTTCTGCCTCGTGTAATTTAGCGTTGATTTTGTTTTTATGTAGACAGGAATCAATTATTACACTTGCAACACTTTGATTGTAAAGCTTGTGAGGTCTCTGAAAGGAGGAATTTAATCTATAAAGCTATAAAGTGTTACCAGACAGCACCCCAAGAGGGCAGATTTACTCTCACTTTAATCAATTCAAAACATAAAATGAAACTACGACTCATTAGCTAATTATATAGTATCCATTTATTCTTTCCCATTTGTTTTATTCACGATGAGATAAAAACAAAAACTTGTTTTTGCCTGATTGCTTTGACCCAAACTGAACAGGCTCCAAGCCTACAGGGGAGTTGTAGCTCCGGGGACGCGCTGGGCCGAATCACTGCATGAGGACCGATTACCAAACAGCAAAGAGATTGACTTGTCATGTTGAAGCAAAGGGCGACTTCAAATCCAAGTTTACTCTAATCAGGCCCCTCTCATCGCGACGCCTCGGGCAGAGCGCAACATGAAAGACGGGAGTTCATTCTCAGAGATATGGAGGAGAGGACAGAGAGGAGACGTGGCATTTGTCTGCTTCAAGACCTGCGAGATATTATTCACACACACACACTCGCCGTCTCCTGACTTAAAGAGAGAGGGAGGAAGGAAAACAGAAACACAATTTTTCTTCACACACACTCACACAAGAGGGTCATAAGCTTTGATTGCGAATTGAAGCCCAGTTAATCCCGTCTAGCTGCTGTTGAGGAGCCACTCTGTCTTTGTCTCCGCCAAGAAAGGCTAAAAGCAGGCATTAGCTGCACACACACACACACACACACACTTAAACACACACACTCTCCCCCCACCTCCTCCTCTTGACACCCAGGACAGTGCTGGGGAAACACTGAATCACAATCATTGTTACACAAGTAGCTGAGCTGCTCATTAGGGAGGTGAACACAGTTCTGTATTTACTGTAAACTCAGACTCATTTTATCTAAGTTAGGCTCACACAGGTATCTTGTCGGCTTTGAGTGTTTTATGTTGTCATCTTATAGTAAAACCATGTGATCCCCTTCCTCTTGTTTTTGTCTATAACTCTGTACAAAACTGCTGCAGAGGCTTTAGATGTTTACTTAAGTTAGAATAAGTTAGAATACATAATAACAAACTACTTGATCTTCATTTTATGTATCAGTATCCTCCTGTCAGACTGTGGAATAAATAAATTAATGTAGTTTAGAGTTCTCCAGATTAATTTAAACAACTTCACTCTTAAATCTTTTTTTAAAAATCACACTTTTCCATCTTAACGTTAATTAGATTTGGTTTTCTGAAACTTTGATAAAAGGGAGTAGTTTGGTGAGCAGTCACTATGAGGCCAAGAGACTTCTTCAAACAGCTGCTGTGATACGTTTCATCGTATTCCCATCCTCCGTTAGCTCGGTGTACTTTCATGTACACTTAAAGTTATCCAGTAAATAAATACAAGCCAGCAGAGATAAGTCATACAGACAGTGATATGCTTTTCATTTGTACTGCTGTATTTATACAACGTTATCCATCTATCTCTGTGTATCCAGCCTACATCGAGGACGTAGCGCGCTGTGTGGACCAGAGCAAGCGCCTCATCATCGTGATGACGCCCAGCTATGTCGTGCGGAGGGGGTGGAGCATCTTTGAGCTGGAGACGAGGCTGCGCAACATGCTGGTGACCGGCGAGATCAAGGTCATCCTGATCGAGTGCGCTGAGCTGCGCGGCATCATGAACTACCAGGAAGTGGAGGCCCTCAAACACACCATCAAGATGCTGACGGTCATCAAGTGGCGCGGGCCATCCAGCAACAAGCTCAACTCCAAGTTCTGGAAGCAGCTGCTCTACGAGATGCCCTTCAAGCGCATGGAGCCCCTGAGCATCTCCCACGAGCAGGTGCTGGACGTCAGCGAGCAGGGCCCCTTCAGCGAACTCCAGACCGTCTCGGCCATCTCCATGGCGGCAGCCACCTCCACCGCCATGGCGACGGCACACCCGGACTTGCGCTCAACCTTCCACAACTCTTGCCACACCCAGATGAGGCAGAAACACTATTACCGTAGCTACGACTACGACCTGCCGCCCGGCGGCACGCTCCCACCACTCTCCTCTCTAGGCAACCAGCACACTTACTGCAACATCCCCATGACGCTCATCAACGGACAGCGGCCGCAGTCCAAGTCGCCGCGCCAGCAGAGCCTGGAGGAGGCCCACGGCAACAACGCCATGCTGCCGCTTCTGCCCAGAGAGACCAGTATATCCAGTGTCATCTGGTGACAGAGACGGCGCCAGGCAGGATAGACTGTGGATCTATAAGATGTCCGTCACAGGGAGGACTCACCACTGGCACTTGGACCCTGAATGCACCGGAGCCAGATGGACCTGATTGGCACTAAGCTACTTGCTGCTGTTGAATTTGCACCAGGAAACACCAGGGGGAGGGGAGGGAGGACGGGGCGTCAGACACACTGGACGCATTGGTGATGGAGGTGGTGGCAGATTTTTTCTTTTTTTTTTTTTTTTGTTTTTGGTCCAATAAGAGCTTTTATTAAAACTGAACAACAAAAAAGAAGCAAGGAGAACTTTTTTGTATGCCTGTATAAACACTCACGTAACACAAGCCAACACCTATGATCATTTACCCAGAGAGTCAAGGAATACAGGGTCCTGTACATACGTTTTTCTAATTCTTTGTAGCATCAGTGTTTGGGACTTGTTTCTTGTTTATGTTTTAACATCAGTTGGGACTCGTTTTTTAATTTCTTTTGTTTAAAAGTGAAGCAATGGCCTGTGAGATGTTTTGGATAAACCGTTGTTACCTTTATCTTAATTTGTTGGCTGGTGTAGTTTATAAAGCTTTGGGGTTTTTTCGGGGGGTGGGTGGGAGTCAAGTCGCAGCCTTTCGGGAGATGAGAACGAATTGGTTTGGATTTCCAAGGGTTTCAGCTGGCTGCCGTAAGGGTTGAGAACTGGACTCTGGACTCAACCAGAATATGCAAAATATGGAGTCCAGAGAGCGGAGAGAAGATGGGTTTTCAAAATCGATCATATTCCAACGCTTTCAGAAAAGTCATATCTGTGAAGGGGGATATGAAGAATATGGTGCTAGGCTTCACATCTCTCTGTTTCTCTCACGATAACATTTACTTTTAAAAAAACAGCCTTGCTCTTTACCTTAACAGATGAATATATCACCGAAAATTAATTATGTGTATTATTTTATGAAAAAAGAAAAGTCTATTTTTGTAACTGAGGGATATTTGCTTAGAGAAGTTATACCTATAAAGTTTCTGTCAGAAGGAATTTGGGAAACATAATAAAAAAAAAACAATGTTTTGTTATGTGGAACTGCACAGCTCACGAAAATCGATAGGTCGTTCACTAAATGTCTTACCCTTATATTGCAAGAGAAAAAAAAAAAGTTTTTTGTGTTTTCATCATTAAAAAAAAAGAAGCAGTTTTGACATTTCAAACGCACCACTACTGATTGCAACTCAGCGGGCTTTTTATGTTCGTTGATTTAACAGCCATCGCAGCGATTCGCGGTTGATTTAACAAGGACGGAGCTACACTATCGATGATGTCAGCACAGATGGAGGAGCCTTGACATCCAGTGTCACCTGAAGCATTTACTGTACCTGGTTTCCTCCGTAGGACCAAACAAGGCTGTCCAGGGCTAAACCATTATCTCTGTTATTCATTTCCTCTTAAATGACAGCTCTGTTATTTCTTTGCCATCCGGCTTGTCAATGGAAGTGATTTGTCAGTTGAGTTACGCTCTATAAAATAGGGCTTTCACATCTCGGTTCTGAGCACTTTGAGTCAGCACTGCTGCGAGATGTGGGAATACATTGACTATGATGATGAAGAGTTTCATTCCAAAAAGAGTCTGCAAACGTCTGAAACACCTTAAAACGGTTGCTGACTTCATGATGAACTTGAAATGTTATTAATGTTTAGTTATTCATGTTTAAAAAAGTAACATTTTTAGAGGATGTAATCATTTATATTTTTGAGCTACTTACCAGTAATCATCATAGGGTGTCTCCTCAAAGCCTTTTAGAATGAAACCCTTCAAAATAAGATGTAATTAATGCTCAAGAGTGACAAGAAAGTGTTTAAAAATAAAAGTATATGGAACTATACAATAGAGATGCTACTTAGAGCGAGTTAGACCAAAGCAAGCTACAGTGAACCATTCTCCATTCACAAAACAGTCTCTTTTTTTTTTTGTTCCTCTGAGGGGAAGCTTCCATTGCGGTCGGTATGATTTCATCAAATCATACGAAACAAGAGCTATTCTCACATTTCCACTGAGACCTGTGAAGGCGGCCTGTGTGCTCACTCCTCCTGCAGCTGTGCCATAATATTTGTTTTTCAAGAAACTAACCTCATACTAAAAAATACCTGCAGCATCTCATAACGTAGAGATGTTTCATTTAGTGCCATAAAATATGCAAAGTGAGGAACTTGTAAACAATAAATGAAGAATTGTGTTTTTTTCCCTCCCCCTTATCTTCTTGCAATCTTCAGTTATTGCTTTTTTGATTTTGATTTTACTGAATATTTTAGAACAGGCCTGACATTTCAAAGAGGATCATCCCTCTTCATGCTTCAGGAGATCTTTCAATCAACCATTAGATTATTACAGCCAGGCCTGTTTTTGTCCACCTTCAATCAGACCCCCCCCCCCCATGAAAAGTAAGATTATGGATTACGTTCAAGAGCACCGTTTCTGAACAGAGGAGTTTGTCGTGCTCTATGACGTGAAGTTGTGTAAATATAATCAAGACAATAAAGTGATTAAGATGAAGACAATCGAGCCATATTCATGAAACCAATGGTCATTATTCACAAGGCCTCTCAAAGTAGAAATACTAATCCCGACCGGAGGTAAACACATGGAATCGATGAGATTTTGACAGGAGTTTGGCGACGGCGCTCCTGCTTTGGGAGGTTGTGTGAATGCAAATGTTTGCATTTTCTAAGTGGGGCGATACACATTTTTGTTTCACGATGAATTGAACATTTCTGGCGACTTGGCTTTGATGATGATGAAGATGAGGATGAATAACAATGACAATATATAGCACAGAATTATTCCAGGCACTTTCACGACTCTTGAGACCTCGTCTCTCCTGTTTCTGATTTATTTTCTATTATGTATCTGCAATGTTCATTAAAAGAGATACTGTTATTATTAATAAAACCACATTTACGGTAATGTGATTCCACAGTCCCGGTGTGTGTGTGTGTGTGTGGACAGTGAGAGCGCTGTATTTGTTTGCAGAAAAACGCCACCCGGATCACTTTGTTTATGGAGCAGTGGCATAGATTGCTGACGATGCCCGGATCCTGTTTCCTGGCGTGGAGCCGATGCGGGCCCCAACCGCCATAACTCTTCTGTCTCCCGTAAAAACCTTGAAACAACAATCAATACGTCTCCTTATTCCCCTCAGAGACTGAATCAGCCCGGCCTCATTTTGGAATAGAGAAGACTAAATCAGGAGAGTCAATGCATTGAGAAACACTTGAAAAAATCCTCGTGTCCGGATTGTTGTCTGACCTTAGTGCGCTTTTGGCTGCGATCACAGGAACAGCTGGTACAGACAGACTCCCAGAACTGGAAATGGATTTATTGTTTAAAAGATAGAGCCCTCATTTTATATGGTAAAGTTCGCCTCCAAACATAATTAAGACACATGTACAAACAGTGTGCTGGAACAATATTGTGTAAGTCCATTCTCCGTGTATGTGCACTGGTGGCTTCAGGTTTCTACATCAAACTTGTATAAGTTGCATACTGGATCAGGTGAACATGTGTCTGGAATACAAGTGAAGATGTAGAGACTTAGTCCAGTGAAAACTACAGGCAAGTTTGCTCACTTAAAATGTCACATCTAATATCTCTAAGAAAAAAGGATCCTTCATCTTCTAGCGTTCTTGGAGGCAGATAAACAATCTTTCTTCCCCTCTGCCTCAGTGCTCTGCCTTTAGTGTAGCCATTTACTTACTTTGCCGTGATCAAAGTAACAGCATTGGAGAGCAAAGAAAAACAAAGGGACATGGGGAAGAATCTTAAAATACTGCAAGACAGTCTTAATTAGCCTCAATATGCTCTTCTTGATGAGAAGTTGGTCAGAATATCCCTCCCTATCTATTCTTGAAATGTGTAAAGCAAACGCAGCTTTAAAGAGAACAGATGTTTGGTTTTCATCGAAATGAAGCACTTCAGCCTGTAAATGTCATTGATGAGTTCTCTAGCTGAGGGTTGTTTGTAGCTATTGCCAGTAAAATCTGCATAATAGCATAATTTAAAAAACTCCCATATGAATCCTCTGTTGAAAGGAGGTTTTTATACTTAAACCTATTCTTAAATACCACTGTTCAATAGCGACAAAGTAGTAGCCATGATTCTGCTGCTCATATCATATGTCAGCTCTGCTGCAGGCACAAAATGCCAGGCTTCAGGCACAACTTGGATCACCTGATATAAAGAAATGTGAAGTCAAGTCACTGAATGCTTCTGATTTCTGACACTTAAAATGAACCATAAAATGTCATGATTATGGTTCTCACACATCCATACACCAGCCTCTTGCCTTACCCAATTCTCCCCACAGTGACGTCAATTCATGTGCGCTGTTCTCGGAGCAGTAAAAGGAATTGTTAGACATTTTGGGAAATAATGCTTTCTTTGAGAGTTAGCTTGAAGATCTGTATTTCCAAAGACGTCAAACTGATCCTTTAAGTAAAAAGAATAGATGTGACGCCTGAATTTCATGTCTTCTGTGTCGCTCACCATCTCGGCCCAGTCCAGAGTTCCCTTCAGCTTCTATTAAATGTAACACGTGTGCAACTCAGGTCAACTATTGCAACATTAGTGACTGCGTGTGTGAATCAGTCAATCACAGAAGATTCCCTACACTGTCTTACCTCACCTGAAAGCAGAATCACTTCAGCATAATAAGAATACTGTGTTACCTCATGCACATTATAATTGTACTTCTGATCTATATGAATACCATTTGGAATGAAATCCTGTGTCTCAGGATTATTTTGACATGCTTCCAGCCCCCAAAAGCTCTGGTAAGTGCAATCACTACTACTACTGTGTGTTTGTGGCAGGACTGTGATATTATGGATCTGAACAGAGAGACAGACTAATCTCTAATCACACCAAACCCTATCATAAAAACATACAAATTCATATTGATGGAATCTCTTCCTCTCACAGACCAACTGCCCTGAACCGTGAAGCTACATTCTAATCATCTGAGCCCGTGTGAACATAGAAAGCCGCCAGATGTTTCATCTGAGCCGACATGTCGCCATATGGTGTGCGAGTGTGTGCCTGTGAGAAAGGGGGGAGTTTCTAAGCTTTGGCACCCCCCCTCCAAATGAAATCATTTTCACTTCATTACAGTGTCACAGCGTAATAAGCTCCCTGAACGAAAGCATGTGACGGGGGGGTAAAGTGGAGACACTCGCTAGAGTGAAAGCACAAGTGGACGTATGCATGCACAGATGTTTTGTTTCTTCCTCTACCTACACACACACACACACACACACACACACACACACACACACACACACACACACACACACACTGGTGAGGAGTATTACTCACTCTGGCAGGTATACCATGCCCCTGTATGTCCCACAGGGCCTTGTTACTTGGAGCTCTGTGCACTGTGCTCTGTGTGACATGTCTTCCACTCCAAGAACCAGGCCAATTGTCTGTGCATGGATAGGTGGCAGTGGAGACTGAGGCTGTGTATGTTTGTGTGTGTGTGTGTGTGTGTGTGTGAGCTGAAAGCATTTGGAGAGTGGATGCAGGCAGCTGTTAACCCAGTTTTTGGAATAATTCTGAACTCACCATGGTTCAGCACGGCATAATTGCCTCTGCATGCAGTGTGGGAGATGCAAGTCATGGATCACTGATCACTCACCAAGCCTTTCAATTTACTCTTACTTCCTGCAAGAGCGGGTCCATCTTTTAATTATTAATTATTTTTACAACAGTATCGATGTCTGTGTGGCGAGGTTGGATATTGATTTGACCACGGATACAGCTGGCGTATCTAAGCTGCCCTTTTCATGTCTCAATTGAACAAATCAAGTGAAATCACATTAATGTATTATCAGAATAAAACGCCGCCTCATTGAATTTGAGCAGTGACCAGTTTCTGTCCTCCAATTAGAAGACGGGGAGGAAAACTGGCCACCTCAGGAAATTCGAAGTGAAACGCTGTCATCTGCTGGACGTACTTCATCCTGCACCCAAGTCTCTCGTAAGGCATGCTGGGAGGGAAGGACCCCAATTTGAGCCATTATGGTGAAAGTGGGGTGACGTGTAGATCGTTAAGACATGATAAAAATAAAAAATAAAAAAAAAGGCACACACATCTTCTCTAAATTGCCCCGGTTGAGATATTTTTGCCATCTGGAACCTATAATTGTGATGAATGGAGGTGTGTGTGTTTTCCTTTAAAGCAGCCATTAGATAAACTGCTGCTGTTACTTAAAGAGCTCTTTTTATGGCTCCCAAATGAGCAATGACACAGAGCTAGCACAGGGTGAATATATAATGAAGGCTATGCTCTATTATATGTATTTGTGCCACATCCTATATATCAAATTATTAAATGAGCTAAAATAGACACCTTGTATCCACACAACTGAAGTCAATCACTCCTATCATCTCGGTATATTTGGGAATATGTGGCTGCAAATGATTTTATTCTGCTGAGACGAGTTAGAATAAGTGCTGGCTCAGCTTATGCTATATTTCTAAATATTCTACAGGTTAGGTTTGACAACTTTTCCAAACTTAAACCTGTCATGTTCACTTCCTCTGACATAGAAATGGCACTAATTGACAGCTTGTCAGTGAGACATCCCATCCTGTTAAATAACCGGATAATTTTACCTCTATTTTCCCGAAATGTTAGTGTAATATGATGGTTAATGGTGCTTGATTTCAGTTCAAATCGGGGAATAAAAAATAAGGTAGGAGAAGTGTCACGCAAGGTGTGCACGCAAGGAATTATGGGTAGAGAAATTGTTTGAAAGTTTGCCCAACACTTCGGCCTCTGTGGGATTTTATGGACGTCGGGGTCAAATATACGACAGGTAAGCACCTGAGCAGAGTTATCACCGTCATTATAATCCTCATATTACTGTGTACAATGCGATAGTCGGCCGGTGTCGTTAGTTTACTTTGAACGTACGTTAGGAACTGTTGGTGTGGCGGGAAAACAACATGTTACAGTTTGAGCCTCTCCGCTGTCAAAGTGTTCATATTCGACATGTTTTTGAAACAAATGTCTTCGGAAAGAGTTCCTACTGATGAGGAGAGTATAGGGACAACAACAGCATTAGTCTAGTTTCTCAGTTTTACTTTAAAACAACCCTTTAATGGAGACGGTTCCCTGATTAAGACGGAGAAGACGTCAGGTGTGTGAACGGTAGCGGCCTACTGACGTCACTGCGGTAAAGTTGATCGTTTTTATATCTATTAATAATAATATTAATATTTATGAGCCTGTGTGCTGACTCTGTAGGTTTAAACATCCTTTAAAAGTCAGCTTGTTAGCAGTCGTTGACTTTATTTCATTTGTTTATTTAACGGCAGTAACGTGACGTCTTTAGTAAACATAAACAGTTAGCTTAAGGTTAACAACTACACCGGTTAGCTAACTTAAAATGCTATTTTTCATCCTTAAATGTTATAACTATAATGTATAAACAGCTCAACTAAAATGATATATAAATATTCAGAGCAATAATAAAAAAAAGGGAATATAACGTAAATATTAAATGTAAAAGACGTTTTTATTGTGTTGGGAAAACGAGTTACCATGGCAACACAGTTATGCCACTTGTTCGTTGTCATATTCCTGTGAGGCTAACAATGCTCCAATGCCATGTATTTCTACCTTCAACAGATATTCTGTTGAATAAAAATACCTTTAAATTAAATGAATGAATGAATGAATGAAAGAAATAAAAGAGCCCAGAGCCAGAGAAGAGTTGGCTGAAACCTTGTTAATAGGTAAAGTACACAGTACATCCACGTGTTCCTGCACAGACCTTACAAAGTCATATACAATGTATAAACAGTTGAACTGAGATTGAAGCATTCAGAGTAATGATAGAAAGGAAATGTAAATGTTAGTAAAGATAGGCAGACGTTCAATGTTTAATTAAGACTAGTAGTACTTTGTTAGGTTGACTGTATAACAGTAATAACTTAGTTTCACTGCCTGTCTTATAAGATGTATGTTAGTTATTCCATGTCTGCCTTTACTGTAGATAGATAATTGTAAATTGAAATATTCCCCCTGGTTGTGTCAAACTCTATGAACATTATGAACAATACCATAGTAATGGTAAAGTTGATGTTGGGTCATTTTATTGATGACCCTTCATCAATGTGGCATTGCTTCAATTTCTCACAATAGCAGTTTCCTACCTGAAGTCTTCACATGTCCTGCTGTGTGTGACAGCAGTCCAAAACTCAGATATTTACTTTACTGTCACATAATATAAAGAAAGAGCAAAACCTAACAAACTGTAACTAAAGAGGGGTTTGGGTTGCTTCATAAAAGACTTAAAACAATTAGATCAAGATCAGAGTAGGTTTAGATCAATTTTCTGCCAATCAAATAATCTATCCAGCTTCATAATCATGTATCAAAGGTTATAATGCTATGTATTCATTACAGGTAAGGGTTAATTTCTTCCAGTGTAGGTCCACATTTAGTGTGAAGTATTTGTGTACACAGGGATCAGCCTGTATTCCTGAGATTTAGTGTGGAAGCTCCACTGGCTGCTGCTGTTGTTTGTGATGTGAGATCCTGCACCAAAAGGAAACCACAGTAATCTGAGACAAGCTTAGCTGGTGTTAGACTCTGTAGCTGAGAGGGGGGAAAACGCCATTAATGCAAATGCTTCGCAAGGTTGTGGTGCTAATACTCAAGGCTAAGCTTAAACGTCTGTTGCTGCCTTGAAAGGCTGCATCCGGAGGAAAGAAAAGCCCTGAGAGAACGCGCTCAGAAGCTGCACTCAGCATTCGCTCATTGTCATAAGCAGCAGAAATGTGAAGTTGGTAACTTTTAGACTTTGATACCTGACTTTTAACAATGCGGAGCCGGTAGCCTTGAGGGAAAATTGAAGAACTTTGACTGAAGAAGTACCAGAAATGTCAAGTGGTCAGTGATTACAAAGCTGTAAGGTTTAGCGAATCAAGTATCTGTACTTTCTCACAACAATAATGCCTGCCTGTATAACTTCCTGCGGGAGTCGGACTGTATTTCTCAAGCCACAATAGCCTGTCAGCAGCGATACATGCCACCAACAGCCGGACTAATAGGTCGGTTCTATGTGTTTACTTGCGTTAACGTTCTTAAATCAGGGCATTGTCGGTCCTTGTGGTGTAAACAGCAGCTCATGTCAAAATGTTGTGTACATTTTAAAACGCAACCCACTGTTTATTTGATCTAAATGTGTAAAATATTTAGTGCCAGCTCATCGACAGAACATTAACCAACAACAATTTTAATATTAGATGATATGTGTATAAAAGATTTAATATTAGATTGTTTTCTCTTTGTGTTTTGGACTGTTGTTTGGAGCAATCTGTACGTGCCTCTGTGGGCTCTGGGAAATTGTGTTTTGTGGCTTTAATTGCCAGGTAAATTAATAATGAATTTTGCTGTAACAATTAGGAGACTGTTCAATCCATCATAACAAGTTTAGCCGTCACATAATGTTAAATCAGAAGCAGTTGAAGTCAGTAAAGTCACTATAGGAACAGAGACAGCAGCGTGGTGGTTCAGCACAGAGTACACGTTATAATCACAGCCAGTATTAAAACTTCAAATAACACACAACACATCTTCAAGTTAAGACAAAGATGGGAAATAAGTGTGCGTCATGGGAGGTGACTCAGCATGAAATGTTAATTCACATAATGAACACACAGTGTCCCGTCGCGTCAGGAGGGATAATCTGCAGTATTGTTTCCTGTGGTTTAATTCAGGCTGGTATTTCCCAGGTAACGGCACGCTGGGCACCTGGGAGCAGGAGGAAGAAGAGGAACAGCTCAGCGCCGGCTCCTGACGATATTAATGAAACGAGGCGGCCAGAGCGAATGCTTGCTGAGCGGCGGTGTATTCACTGAGGCTGTCTGAACAGGGAGATGGAGCCCAAACCACCGGTGTGTTACAATGTGTAGCAGCTGTTTTAATCGACACCCATAACTTTGTGTGTGTGTGTGTGTGTGTGTGTGTGTGTGTGTGTGTGTGTGTGTGTGTACAGAAAGTAATTTAAAAGCTGTGAAAAATACATCTGAGTGCTAATGATTATGATGCCTGCTTGCAATGTGTTTAAGGGGCAATAAGTTGGATTTTACAGCCCTAAAGTGACCACAGTGCATCTGCAGGAGTTTGATAGCATTGTTCATTAATACCACGATTCATTTAGCAATAAACAGCATCTGAACCAGCAATTACATGGCCCGCAATTAAGATTTCAAGCTTCAAACTCACTTTCTTGTAAAATGAAAGGATGCCTACTTCAACTAGTTTTTAAAACTCTTTATTTCCTTTACAGAAAGTGATGGATGATGGCCTCCACCCGTCAAACTGAGCATCAATGGTAGGAACCACTTATTCTACTTTGCTTTCTAAAGCTGTGATTCTCTTGCTTCTGGTTCTCTGAACGCTGCTTTTCAAACATGAGGCAATGCTTACTGTTTGTGCTTTTTCAATCATATTGCGTTTGGTAGTCTCATTGTAATGGGAGCTTTAATGCCTTTGTGTTGTGGGAGCAGATGCTCTGCAGCTGTAGTTGATGTATTCAACCTATGGATGCTGTAAACTGTGGAGGTTTGTGATTTGATGGATATATGGAGCTTGACTGCGAGGTCTGTGTTTAGGCAGATGTTTGTATTACACTTTTGTCACCTAAGCGATGCTCTTATTGAGACTGCGTGTTGTTCCCACAATGCTCTGCAACCTGGTTCTTGAGTCTCATCTGGTGTCAGAGTTGGATCTCTGCAGAATCAGTCAGGGATTTGTTAGGACTGTTACGCCACGCTGAATACCGGCATTAAATGACAGCTGCGTAATATAATATGCATAATATGCCAGAAGGTAACAGCACAGATGTTTTGAGTCATTGTCAGTGTCACTGACTGGCTGGAGGCCTCCTCAGTGTCCTCACAAAAAACAGAACTCCTAATGTGCCGCTGATGCTCTGAGCAAGCTCACGGTAAATTCTGTAAAAATAAAGACAGATGAATACATGATCACATTGAATCTATCACTCAGTCCTCTATTGTGGATTCTGCCGCCCATAAAACATAGCGAGCACATGTTCCTCTATGCTGCTGCTCCCGGTCACGGGTCTGAAGAACAGTCCCGCCACCGCGTCCGGCTCAATGGACCGCAGCGCGCTCAGCACCGCCCGCAGTCTGCCGAACCGGCCCGCTTTACCCCGGTGGACCGTCCTCACGTGCTCGTAAAGCGCGCGCTCAGCCTCTCTCTGAAGCGCCTGGACATACTCCCGACACTCCAACTCCGTCACTCCTACAGGACGGACAGACAGACAGACAGACAGACAGGCTGCAGTGTGATTCAAACAGATCGGGAATTAGGCGCGGATTACAGTTATCTGTGGTCTTACCCGGGGTGAACAGTATCGCTCCCTTCAGAAACGCGTATTCTTTGACGCTGATCCTCAGTCCTCTGCACCACACCTGAAACATTTTGATCCCTTCCGCGTCACTGACCGGCACCCCTGGGTCCTGGATCTCTGCCGGAGTGCGCTCCTGCTGTCGCTCTTTGCTGTGAGTTAAAATCATGTGTAACAGACTCGGCTGCTGCGTCTCCACCGTGTCGAAGTCCACGGAGTCCTGCACCATGCCCAAAACCAGCAGCGGCGCCCAGCTGTTGCGCACAAGCCGGAGCTGGTCTTCCGCCGGCAAACCCCGAAAACACGGCACATTTTTCACGAATCTGAAAGTTTTCACAAGCACCTCCGAGGCCGCTTTGAAAACTAATTGCGGAGCCCGAATGGCGACCAGTTTCCTCCTGGTCGCGCAGGAGCAGGGCTGTTGCGCGGCGACGGTCTCCAGGTGTCCCTGCGGGCTCTGAGCGCCTCTGTTGAGGAGGCTGTAGAGGATGCTCCCCCGCGCCGTGTCCTCCCGGTCTCTGCACTCACAACACGACATGACGTTTCTCAAAGCTGCCCCAATGATTATGAGCGTGTTTTGACGAATATCATCTTTTTTATATTCTAGACTTGAGGCACCGACAACATACGTCCGGTCAGCATTTTCACAATAAAAGCATAAGAACGTAGCAGCAGGTGAATGTCCAGCAGTAACTCATAATGTCACTCATGCTTTCGAAAAAATATGAAAGATCTTTTTCTTTTTATAATATAATCATATCCTATATCTCTAAAATATGATACTGTATACAGGATTTGAGGTAGTAAAAATTGATGTGCAGAAATTCAATGAAACTGTATTCTGTAAATATGTAACAGTGGTTAGTTACTGTATACATTATGGGTTTGTTTACTGAAGCTAACCGTACTTATTTATGTTCTGTAACTTAACTATACAGTCCACCATTATATATTCCACTCTATAATAAGGTGTCAATGGGGTCTTAAAAAGTAAAATCTAGTAATCTGAATATGAGGCCTTAAAAGGTCTTAAATATGATTTTGATTCAATGAAGTCGATGTTAATTTTATTTTCAGTCTTGCATTTTAATGTTTTAGGGAAAATATTGTATTGATCATACTGCAACAACTACAAAATGAAACCTACAGCAACCCATATATATTTTTCTTCATATCCTGTATACTTCTTTTTGCCACAGTGGTCTTAAAAAGGTATTAAACATCTTAAATCAAACCTTTTGAAACCTGCAGAAACCCTGTATTATGTTGGACTGTTACAGAAGTACATTTTATTATATTTGTAATAATATAATTACCTCAGAGTAATTCTGGCTCCTACCTGCTGTTGTTTTATGTGGTACAGTTGTGAATGTAGAGTGCAGTTGCAGTGGAGAGTGACGTTGGGTTCTGAGTAATGTGTTTTTGGGGTTTGTACTTGCAGAGAAGAGTGTTCTTAAGATGGTGTAAATTAGTACAAAGTGTTACCCACAGCCAACAGTGACTAACCAGCCAACACTTCTTGTTGTATCCATCATTTATTTTCAATTCACATGACATGTTTGGATGTAGTTGACATATGAAGCCTTAATTTTGAAAGCAAAATCAGCCAACTTCCAGTCTGGCTCCAGCTGTGTGTAGCTGGCTTGATACATCCTTCAAACAGGCCTATTGTAGGGTAATAAGTCAGGTCAGGGCTGGCCCAAGACACTGAGGGGCCCTGAGCCGGACTTTTTGGGGGTTCTTACCTCCATTGTGTGAAACATCAATCATCCGAGTGTTTTGCATAGGAAGACCATGTGCTTGTTTGTGCAGTGCAGCAGAGCGATAACAAAGCTTATTGTACATTCCAAGTTTCATAAATAAGTGGGGGGAAACCCTCTGCTCAGTCTCTGAGGCCTAATTTAAAGTGTGAAATCCTGTTTGTCTATGCAAAGCAAAGTCCTGCAGATGGGTTTCAGAGGGCAGCGTGGACTCGTGTTAATGTGAGATCCATTTCATTAACACAAACCACGTCAGACCACGGAGTGTTTGCAAAGGCTGACTTCAGGCTTTAGCTCCACATAGGGATTTATAAATGCAGTTGTGATTGTATGTTGGCAGCTCTTCCAGTTGAATAACTATTAGCATGTTTCTAAACGTTAGAATGATTCTGATTTCTGTCTGTTAATGTTTAAACAGCGTTTTTATCTAATTCCAGTAGGAAACAAAATATTATCTCTCTCTGGAACCAGTCCAACCTGAGTAAGAAATGACTTGTAGAATCAGTCTGTTTACAAAAGATGTAGCTTGGACTGAGCTACCCCCTTTTTTTTAATCAGGCATGGCTAACCATGAGGCAAGGACGAAGCATAGGGCTCATTTTCATCTTTTATCATCCGTTGAAATGAATAAAATGATTACATAATACAGTATTTTAATACTTATTTTATTGCAGGGATTTATGGGTGCATTTACAGTAGGAACCCACCAGTACTGTCATAGTGTAGCGTCATAGTCCCCAGCTGATCTTTGATGATGATAGTAAAGCTAAGCTTCAAATTCTGGTCTGCACCATGTCTATGTGTCAGTATCTGTTCAACCAACTAAATGATCTGTTTGTATCTGTTATTGAAGTGGGCAGGCTTAAGCAGAAGTTGATCATCTAATATCAGACGTTGCTTTTAAATAAAACTTACTATGCTATATTTATATCCAAGTACTCACTCAACCCTACTGAATAAGTTCTTAATTCAACTGTATTCACTATGACATTTAGTTCAAAGGTGGCCCAGTAAACTAAATGACTCACTGTTTTCATGTGAAGTGAAATACTTTCATATGTGACTCTCCTGACATTTGGGGCTTGTGAAACTGAAAATGATCAAACAAAAAACAACAAAAAAGTTTTTGTTTTTTCTTTATTTGCAGATCTCCTTTCTATATGATCCAAGACCCCATAGACAGTGCCGGGCTTTAATTGTTGTTAAGCTAGGGCTGCACAATTAATTGTAATATTATCAAAATCGCAATATTTAAATTGCAAGAGCTGTAATGTTTTGATAAAGGTCAAATAAACAGCATGATAATGACGTAGTGTAGTGCTGCAGAGGTGCCCTGGTCTACAAATCTCTTTTAAGAGAACGTGTTGGTTTGGTACAGACCCCCAAAACTTTCACATCATTATGATTTTAATAATATGAAGATTCAGTTTGTGATGTAAAAAAGATCATTCCCACATACATTGTGAAAGAAGCGGCTGTAATATGATGGATGCATTCTTTGAGCATCAAATGCATGCATAAAAATGCATTATGGACTGTGACCATATACAATCCTTACAGTTAATGACAGGAATTTTAGGCTGAGATGTTTGAGAGGGGGTCAGAGGAGAGGAAATGTTAGATTGTTGTTGAGAAGTCTTGCAGCAGAATACTCTACTTTTGTCCAACCTTGAAGGACAGTGAAGTTTTCTGACATTGAATCTCATCACTACTGATGAGTAGTTTTTTTTCTCCAGAGGCATGTAGACATTAGAGTTTAATTTCATTTCCTCAGCCACAGGTTTCAAAGCAGCAGAGTGACACAAGCATAAAAGCAACGCTGCCCTGGGTGTGTAATTACCTGACAAGGCCAGACGTTTCTCCTTGTACAGGCAACAGTTTCTATAGTAACGAAGTGTGGCAGAAAACATGCGTCTGAATTCAACCCAAGAACAAATCATGATGATTATACAAAGATCATTCTAGGACATAAATGGGATGAACTTTATCCAGAATTCTGAAGGACTGAGGTGCTTTTCATCAAAGTTTTTACTAATGACCCTGACTATTTCTCAGGGTTGTTTATGAAGAGTTTCATTTGTCATCAGGGCCTTTTGCACCTTTTCACATTGCACTTAAAACAACTCCAATGCAGAGAAAAGCCTTGAGTCAAAACATAGAGAGCTCTCCTTTTGTAACAGTTTGGTCTATCCAGTTTATGAGAAGAAGACGTTACGTGTTACACGCAATGCTCAATGTGAGGGGAAAAAAATCGATGATGCAGCCCATCTGAAATAGGTGGTTTACCAGACAGGTTTCAGAATGACTCTTCTCGGCTATCTCTTTCAAGCAATCAAAAAGCTAAATCCTTCTAGAGGCATTGCTGTCTGACAGAACAGTGCACCTTCTTATTCCACTGTTAACTTCTAAACTTGAATTAAATGTGAAGGACTTTAACTTTCTGAATTTAAAAAAAGAATGGTTGAAGGACGAGTCGTATCCATGTCTGTTGTTTCTTAAAATGATTTTGCAGAACATTGAACTCATAAACATGCCTGGATTGGGCAGCTGCAAAGCCTCTCAAAAGTATAATGAAGCATAAAAAGTATGATTTAGTATATATACTGTGTTTAAACTTAACTGTAGACTCAAGTTTTAGTCATCAGCCTGGTAATGTAAATGAATGACAAATCAATTTCATCACTGTTCACCTCTTTATCCCCAGCAATGTAGTGTGAAATGAGGCCTTTGGTAAATAACCAACAGGTAACAGCTTGTATTTACTCTAAAAACTTGTTAAGCTGCCACACTCTTTGCAGAGGTGTTATTACTGTTGCTCAGACAATATGAGAGTGAAGAAAATGCTTCCAATATCCAGCAACTCAAAACCAGACAACCACCAGACAATGCTTTACAAGTGGCTGCTGACCTCTCATCATATCACAGGATTTCCTGCTTTCTCAGCTCAAAGCAGCCAATTCAGAACTGTTGGAGCAAGCAGTGACTTATCTGGGCTTCCGAGCCAGCGTACACAGTCTAACAGCCATCTCTGCAAACACACGGCGGAGGAAAAACAACAGTCCGCCACCAAGCGAAGCCCCGAGATGAGCCAGCAAACTGCCCGCTCCATTTAGCACTGAGTTATTCCATCAGGCCTGTCCGTCTGTCTCTTGAGGGACAACATCAGTCACCTTTCAGCTCTTCGCATCTCACAAGACTGATAGATTCAACCTTGGACAGCAGGCAAATGGACAGGCAGCATATCACTGCTGTCAGGGGAAGACCTTTTATCTCCAAAGTGTCAGCTTTTCAGGAGTCTAGAAAAACGGGCTGTTTTTACTTGATGACCATGTTTTATGAGTGACTATGAGTTTGGTCAGACTTGAGCAGGGCCAGAATGTTCTCAGGCTTTCCCGCTTCAGCATGTTAACCTTGAATCTGTATATCAATTGAAAATCGCTTGAGGTAAAAAAAAAAAAAACCTTGGAAATCTAGTGGTTGATAAAAATGCTGCTTGTTTTGGGGATTTTTCCTGTTTGCCTGCTCCCCCTTTGGACATTTTCTGTACATTGACCTCATTCACATCCTGTACTCGCATCCGAGTTCTTCTTTGGAGTCCACACCTAAATGAAACATCACAGTATGATCTGGACAGAAGTGGACTCACTTGCTACCATTCCCTTGGCATCATGTGGGGATCACTGAGGACATTTTCCTAAATGAAGAGCCAGGCTTTGCTGAGGCTCCCGGCTCTCGTGCAGACAGGACCCAGAGTTTGCCAATAGGCTTGCTTTCTTCAGATGGAGGTGTCACTCTGCTTCTGATGCTCCTGAGCTCATTCTGTCTCCTAGCAGAAGCCTGATAGTTCCTTGTCCTCTTCTACCCTGTAGCTGGTCTCCCAGTCGGTTAGCCTCCAACCTGCTATTCAGCTACTGTCGTTCTGTTCCTCCAAGTTTAATATTGTTATTTTATCTGCTCTGTATGACATTTACTGGCCAGCTGTTCTCTTTGTAAGAGTGATCCCTCCTGTATTGCTATTCCTGTGGTTCATCCCTTTATCCAATTCATCCAATTCAAGGCTTTAAGAATAAAGGGTGTCACATTTTGTACAGATTTTGGAGCCCTTTGAGGCTATAAATGATGTGACTTGTCTAGCTTCCAGCCTCCACAGGTTCCTGCAGCCTCACAGGTTGTATGTACCTGCTGAGCCAGCAGTGCAACACCTGTATAACCATCCTGACAGCAGGACACTTAAAGCTAACTAAGCCTTGTGTGGACGGTTCCAGAGGTCGTAGGTTGCATAAGCTGCTCAGCATTGTGGTTTCTCCACTGCTCTGACCACCTGCCCCTGGTCTCCAGCTGTGTCTTCAGCTGGCTGCCTGCCTGCTTGCTTCCCAGCAGTGTAGCACTCCAGGGTTGGCTAGCCTCCAACCAGACTGAGTCAGCGAGCCTCCAGCCTGCTATTTGGACATTGTCCATTTGCTTTCTCCATATTGTATATTATAATTTACTATTATATGTGTTTAATCTGTATATATGACACTTGCTTCAAGTCAGTCCTTCCTAAAGAGTGAATCATCTCTGGCCCCCCGGTCTCTGTTGTCCCCCCGGTCTCTGTTGTCCCCCCGGTCTCTGTTGTCCCCCCGGTCTCTGTTGTCCCTTGCCTGCCCAGCCATCTGACTGTCCTCCCACCTCTGTCCATGAGCCTTTTTATCAAAATTGTGTTTCTGTGCACCTCATTTAAAGGGTCAGTTAACCTAAATTGCACCTTTTTATGTAATTTGTAGATTTTTAGATATTCTCAAATATATTTTCTGCCTCCACCAGAATACAGTGGAATTGTTTTTGCTCAGCATTAAATAATTACATTTAAAATATTCAACATAATCAGTGTTCCTGTCAGAACACATGCACAGTTCTTAAAGAGAGTATTTCTTTGGTAGAAAGTAGTAGTTTACATCCATGTCTGTCCAGACTTTTATAATGAAGAATTGAATGAATGGAATATTTATTTGGCTAAATGGAAATGAAAAGAGATTTTTTCTTTCTCAGAGAAAACACTGGGCAACCCCAGCATTGCTAAATACCACTAGAAATAACTGAGAGTTTGTCTGAAGATTCTTTTAATTTAATTTGATTTATTTTTTACACCTCAGGCCCAGCAGCTTGTAGGGTGGCAGAATGTGTGACTTGTGTTCTTGCTTCCTGATTGTGGTGTCCTGTTTTAAACTAGAGACTGTGGAAACGTCCTACACGGCTCATATTGTGCAGCTTCTTCCAGCACATCACTGATTGGATTGAAGCCTGCAGGCAGACACTCAACATGTCCTTGATGACCGAACCTCAGTCTGCAGCTTTGATATTCATTATTCTGAACTCCGTCTGAACTCATTCTTTGTGTTGTGCTTGTAGGGGCAACCGGTTTGTGTGTTTTTTAAAACAAGACTTATTTGTAGTCCTTATATGTTCCTGTTTGATTTGAACAGCCCGACAGGCACAGAGGGGAAAAAACAGAGGCATCAAATATGAATTTGACAGCAAACATTTGGTTAGGAGGTGAAATAAGCTATTCAACTTGCTCTTTTGCCATATGCAGTCGTTAAAATAACTGAATTAAAATGTAATGTATTAAAAGTTTTTTTAATGAACTTGGACATTTGTGAGTTAAAATGTCTTGATATAATGTACTACTGTAAGCTGCATTATCCCTACACAGACTACAAAAGGTTTATTATGATGGCCCAGATTTGAGCAGCATTTTAATGGTCAATCTACTGAATGACCAAAAATCACTTTAATCAACTTGTGCATGTACAAATTAATTATTACGTACTTATCAATCTATAGCAGCACTGGCCTTGGATTCAACCAGTAAAGCCTAAACAGATTCCACTGAGGCTCTGCAATCCTCTTTTAATGACCAGACCCTTGTCTCTCCTTGAAAACTGTGCTTCAAATCAATACAGGCAGAAAGAAATCTGTTTATTAGGTGTTCCTGTGTTATTTAACCAGGGCCTGGCAGCTGTTTGAACTGAGCTTTATTTTTGCACGAGGATATCAATGAGTTTATAACTACAACAAACAATGCAATGCTGTATTATTAATGAGGAGAATGTGATTTTATATAGACCTTCATTGCGCTTTCCTTGTGGGCATGACATTGAATGTAGAGTAGATTTACATAGTCGTGTCTGTGGAAGCGTCTCTCATTAAAATCGGATCATTGAGAAATCCAATAGATAAATCTTCACTTGTTGCAGAGCAGCGAGAAACAGAAATTAAGTTTGTTTTGCAAACAGTCTTTTTAAAGCAGCTCTACAGTGTGTTGGACTGATTTAAATCCCTTTTTTAAATCTGTATGTAAAATACAACAAGATGATTGTACGCACACATTAAGTTGCACACTTTTCAGAAAAGAATCCGAAGGAAGACGAGGCAGTTTACTTTAAACACGTAAAAGGAAATATATTTTTTTTAAAAATGAAATAACAAAAAAGAACAACATTTCATACAGAAGAGCTGCTTTTGTCATTTGCAGAGGTAATTTACACAGGACTTGAAATGAAAACACTTTACTTGAAGTGGAACAGCAGCAACCACACCACACAGTTGGAAATATTGACTTTTTTTAAATTGTATTTAATTTTTTTTAAAGACCCTTCAACTGTCTGTATACTGAGTTACTGTAGGCGGGGTGGCGCTGTGCCACTTCTGGTAAAGCATGAAGAGGTTATGTCACATACTGAGCTTCTTTTAAGGATTAATATACACTGGCTCTTGGTAATTCACTCGTATGACGTACGCACCATTGAAACATTTACACACAAAATTTAGAGTTATTTTTCTCTCCCTCAAAACAAGAATACTCCTTATATTTTTAAAGACAACAGTTAACAGTTCCAAAATGGTGGCTCTAGGATTGGATTAATCCCACCTACATGAGGCCCTCCCCTTCCACACAGACATTCCTTATGAACACTTTTCATTTTAACAAGTGTGGCTCACTGTTTGAGTGCGAGGAAAGAAGAAAATGGTTGTCGTGGCGGTCTGCCTGGCAGAAACCAGGGGTGTGCATAGGTGTTACCAACTTCTTCCCCGAGGCTCTGATAAGGCAGTTTATTTTCTCCTTTCCGTTCAGTTTTTTTTTCCTTTCTCTTTTTTTGTCTTCCAGCTCAGGAGCCATGATTAGTGGTGGATGTATTTGCTTTTTCATAGCTGGCCATGCCCTTAAAACGATATTCCAGGTCCACTGACCACTGATTAGCATTTCAGGTAGAGGGAGAGGGGTAAACACAGCCAGAAGAGAGTAGGCAAGACCAAATGAAAACTGTGAGGTGACGAGATGCAGCACGTCTTCTTCATTGTCCATTTTGTGCAAACTGAGATGTAAACAAAGACCATCAGAGGTTGAGAAGGGAAGCATGGTACAAGAGGCTACAGCAACACACAGAAAGACAGCGTAGAGGGATGCAGTGTGCTCCTTCAACAAACTGACAGGCACAGAGGGCCAGTGAAATAAATAAAGGGCTGGGGGTGGGTGAGGGAGAAAGAAACTGCCAAGTTTCCTGTGCTTTTTGCTTCACTCAAACTTGCATTTGGAGCTGAGGGAGTTACTTGTTGCCACTATAGCAGCTTCTAATGTGCTTCAGAGTTCGGCTTGTTTGTCACAGGGGCCGAGGAGATTGGGGGATGTTGGAGGGGAGGACACAGAGTACCACAAGAAGTGCCTTTAAAGGTCAACACACACACAGGCACCCACATAAGACTGCTTTATGGTCATGCTCGCTATTGCCTTTCCAATATTACCACCCATCCATCAATTACAAAAGAAAAGTACAAAATATCTACCACACTGCCCCTCCACTGCCCACCCTTCCACTATATAAGGACAGAACCATATTCACTTAGTTTTTTATCGTTTATATATATATGTATATATGTACACAACAATATGCCTTTGAGGCTGTTGAGAAAAAGTGGGTAGGGGCAGGATGAGGTCTCTGTAGTGAGTCATTAGTTTCTTCATTTCCCTCTTTTTCAACAACAGTGTATCTACAGAAATGTATGATTCCGATGAGAGACGTGATTCAAGGGGATTTGACCAAAGTTTAGCATCCGCGTTGGATCAGAGATGGATCGTTCAGGGCGATAAGCGAATTGCCGTTGAGTGTATGTCAGTAGACCCAGGAGACGGGGACCCACTGAGCAGTGGTGGACACCAGGTCTACAGCCTCCTCCAGCAGTCGGATGGTGTCATCAATCTCGTTGTTGATGATGGTCTGGTCAAAGTAGTGAGCGTAGGTCCGCTGCAGCATCTCTGATTCCTTCTGAAGCCGCTGAAGAGAGTCATCCTGAGTGTGATTGAGGAGAAACGGAGAGAGAGGGTTAAATGACTGGTTGTGGCGCATTCAGGCTGTTTGTGGTCTACTTCTATATGTTTGACTGGCAAAACTTGTAGTAACTTACAGTATTTGCAACGTCTTATGATGGAAGAGGTTAATGTCGACATTTGATTGAGCTGTAGTTGACTGAATAATTTCATAAATGGGTCTGGTCAATCTCCTCTTGCCAAAGATTGTTTCAAGCTTGAACTTTCTTGTTGTTTTGTTGATTAAATAACACCAACACAGCGATGATTCTTCCTCTAGATAAGCCACTTCACTATTGTAAATGTGTTGCTGTTATCAGTAAATATAACACATTTTTTAAATGTTGTAAATTTTGACAATTATTAACCAGTAATATGATCATACTCGTACTAAAAGCAGAGTTTCTTTGTTTCTTTCAACGGGTTCAATTTTAGGCTTTTTAAGACCTATTTTACATCCATACTGGCAAAAAGTACGAAGGAAATTCAATATTGGTTCCATGTCGGTTTTATTCTGTAATTGTTACAGTGTATGATCAATACAAATTATTTCCCCGGAACATATTTAAAAGTGAGAAAGAGAAAACGCAACTTCATAGCAGTAACATTAATTTCTGTAATCCAATAAATTTTTAACGTATTTAAAAATTACTGAAATTCAGATGATGGCTTTTAAGACTTTATGACTCAGCAGACACCCTGTAAAAGTGAGCTTGTTTAGTTAAGAAAGTAGCTATGCTGCTTAAACAACATACAGTACGATCTAAATATTGCTTCATATTATGTAGACCACAAATTCAAGCCTGAAGTTGGTCTAAATCACAATACTGATCAGAAAATTGCAATTGGATATCCCCCCAAGTCGTCCAACAAAGAGGAAGGACAAATGAAATGGACAGGCAGGGTTGGGCCAAAGGAGAAAACGTTGCATCAAAAATGAAGATGCACTACTGAGAGAGCACACAATTAAAGAGGATTATTAGAGGGATTAGAGGATTTAGAGGAAATCAAGGGGAATACGAGTGGACAAAGCTGGACGAGTACTAGAGCTACACAAACACAGAGGCCAGACATGCCTTTCTACAATCTCCTAACAAGCTCAACTCACACGTTTAACCACTACTTACTGGTAGTTTCCTGCACCACTTTGGAACCTTGGGTGCAAATGAAAATAGGCATGCCAAAGAAAACACAAACATGCTTAAAGCATACAGAGCACGTGCAGTGAGAGAAACACTGAGCGAAGCAAGAAGGATGACAGATACAAAAATGAAGGCGGCTTTCACACTGGATTGGATTGTTTGAATTCAGCTAGTCTGCTTTTCCTTTTGTCAACAAAGTGTTTATTTATACCACCACTGCCAGTACACAAGATTATCACTTGTTTTGAAGTAGGCCAGAAAAGTCCCAACATCATCTGATATCAAATTAGACTGAAATGTCTCTGAGTTCAGACTATAATGTCAGTGTGACTGAATGGGAGTTAGTACGTGCAAATAAATAAAACTAGAACAGTGGGGAAGAGTGTGAGAGGAAGCAAGTGTGTGACTGTACCTCAGTCATGCCAGGGGTGATGTTGGGAGCCGCGATGAAGACAACATAGGGAGCAAACTCAGCTGTCCTGAGGATCTTTAGTGCCTGATTAGAGACAGAAAGAGAATTCTGTAGTTCTTTCAAACAAACTGCCAAACAAAATGCAAACAAAAGTTTCAACAAGCACAACAGTATTGGCTACCAGTGCTATATACAATTACAAATCACTAATAATAGGTTTCAACATCAGGGTAGTTTTATTTTAACTTCCAGTGCCCATTAACTTCCTATATTTTAGTGTGTTTTTATATATATATATATATATATATATATATATAAATAAAAAAAGGTTGCAGAATTAATTGAAACATTATTGAAATTGCATTCATTATTGAAGTGGAATTTTTTTTAAGTACTGTAGTTTTTTAAGTACTGTAGTGCTGCAGAGATTCCCCGGCCAACAAATCCTCTTCTCCAGATGTAACAAAAAAACGTATGTGCAGTACAAACACCAGCAAATATCAGATTATCATGATTTTAATCTTTTTTTTTTTTCAGTAATGTAATTTGTGATGCAAAAATGATCATTCCCAACCTTAACGTGATATGTCAAAAATAATCACAACAGTGTTTTTTACCATAGTGTGCAGCCCTAAAAAAGACACTGTAATGTTCTGTAATGGCATAACTTGACAACATGACAGGACCCGTGTATGCTATTTGGTATCTAGCATAGTAGAGAGTGAAAAAGCTCTACTTCTTCTGTGGTGGTAACGCTACAAAACAGCAGATCATTTGAACAGAATTGATAATGATGAAGGCATCAGTCAGTTGATTTTCAAACTTTATTTGCAGTTAAATTTGCGGTTGAGTTTGATTTTGATTATTAATGAACAGCGTCCTGGTTGAAAATGACATTTTCTCCACGTGCTAAGATGTTGTTGTTCTTGTGCTGCTGTAGACTGACCAATGATGTGATGGCATTGTATTCACAAATCAGCTTGCTGTCATGATTTTTATGTATAAGTGACTCTAGGACCTTTTGTTAAACATGAAGTCATGTAAAAAAGTGCTGGTACTTTTATTAAGTGCATGTTTGAAAATGACTTTTCAGATACATAAACCTTTTGTTACCTGTGGTTCAACATCCAGGATGGAGATCATGCCCTGTGCATGGATCTGCCTGATAGTCTCCAGCCTGGTTCCATACATGGCATCCTCATGGCTGCCGTACTCCAGGTAGTCGTTGTTGCTGATGTCCTGCATCATCTGGTCATGAGACACAAAGTAGTAGTTCTTTCCGTTCTCCTCGTCTTTCTTAGGAGGCCGAGTTGTGTCTGAGCAGAAAGAGATGAAAACCACATTACACTGAAGACAGTCTGTGTGTGCTCATGCTGTTGATGTTTATTATTTATTTAAAACATACATAGGTTCCACCTATTTGAATTGTGCATTATATCCATAACCCAATACAACATAACTATTCTGTCTACTGACCGAACGGTGTTCTGGCTCTCTGCCGCGCTGCAGTCAGCGTATTGTTTCCATTATCAGAGCTTCTGTGTTGCTGGTAGTGTATTTGGCTGCTCTAGCTCAACAGTTATATATGTTATATTCTTCATTACAGCGGATAATTCCCCCTATACATTATAACTTATACTAGTTCAGACAAACACTTGTAGCTCTCTCCCAGTTGTTTACATGTATTCAGTTCTGCTAGCTAAGCAGTTGTTTTCACTTGAACTGTCCTGCACTCTGTTGCTCAGTGTTGAGCTATTCCTCTGCCTCCTTTAATGATAATGGTACATATAATAAATGTAGCTTATTTTCCTAGCTGGATGCAAGGCTTGAACTGGAAGCTAACTTGTTAGCTGCTGTAGTTATGCAGCCTGTAGTAGGCAATGTAGTTCCTGTTATGATTTGCTGCTTAAGAGTCAATTCCAAACAGGGCTTTTTAGATTGCTCAGAGAGCGCATCACTTTCTCTGCAGTCGAGTTAGGTTGTGAATTCTATGTTATCATTACCACATATCCTACATATCATGGTAAATAAATGTCCTTTTTGTTTCCCCACAACCAAGCTTTCATTTTCACAATCAAAAGTTTATTTTTTCACCCAATTTCCGATTATAAAACTGAATTTAGTTGACAGTCCTAGTGTGTGTGTGTGCCTGCCTGCCTTTATATTAAGTGTTATACACACATGAAACATTATATCCCTTTAAAATCAAATATTCTTGGATATGGTTCTAGGTCATTTTTGTGGATTTATAGTGCAGGGGTCTGCAGATATATTTTCTAGTTTGTTGTTCCCATCTAACAATAATACAGGAACTTCAAACTACTTCAGTAGCTGATTGAGTGTTTCTAGATATCGGTTTATGCATCTTGTGTGATCTGATACGATTTCTCTGACATGTAACCACCCTGTGCTGTTCTGTCACACTGTGTAGATGTTATTAGTGAGTGTGTGTGTGTGTCTCCTTACGAGGGATGGGGTAGGCAAAGCGGTCAGGATGTTTGGTAATGAGCGTGTTCTTGATGTGCCTCCTACCAACTCCATGTGCACCTGAATGAAAGGAGACAATAGGTTGGTCAATCCATGCTTGTAGTCTTTGTATTTGTTAAGATTCTGGCATTTTCACAGTATTTAATTTTTTGCATGACTGGGCCTTTATGTAGGATTATACTGTTTGATTCTGTCAGTACATAGAATATAAAACCTTTAATGTGATCATGCATATACTGAAGGATTGGATTACTTCTGGAGTTTTCTTGGCCCCACAAAATGATACAGTATATGAAGGGTCTTCATATTTCTCTAGCCTTTCCCTGACTCCTGGTTGATGACTGGGTGTGCTCTGGTGTTCACTCAGTCTATTGTTTCAGCTCTGAAACAATGTGTTACAATGCATTATTTTATTCTTTTGTATGAAAGTTCCCTACTTCTCAGTATTAGCTGAGATAATGTTAATAACTTAACTTTAGCACCACTTTTGCTAATCTTAGTTATGTTATGTAAAAGCTGTGCTTGTAGCTGCAGCGTATGGTCCATGCATGTGTCACCATAACTATACACTCATATACCTCATCTGACTGCATCCAGAAGACAATAAAATAGTTTTAAAAGGCCTTAATAACATTCTGAATGAAAAGCAGCTGGAGCTGATGATGGAAGTAGGTAAAGAGTGAGCCATCTTGCTTTCTATGCACGTCTGTTGAGAGCTGCACAGTAAAGCCAATCATAATGTGTTATGGCATCTGTAAACACAGGACCCGGGGCCAATCTGGCAGGCAGAGCACATCTGGTACCAACACCAGTAGTCTCCACTGATTGAGTTGTCTGTTCTGGTCACAGTAGGAAATTGTCATATATGGCTCCAGATGTCAGGTGGAGTAGAAGCTGTCCTCCATGTACAAGTTAGCTCTTCTAAAAATATTTGCATTAAATAAACCATGTCACACTACAAGTGTAGTGTTTGGATGGTCAGATCAGAGAGATTAAGGTTGGTTCTATCTCATCAGCTGTGGTCTTGTGGTTTTATTCACTTCATAGTAATTCTAGTTAATGGTGCACTGATATCAGAAAGGATGCCAGTTTCTGTGACGCATTTTCAGATCAAGTCAATCTGCACGATTTTTAAGATTAAGTTGTGCGTAGCCTGTACAGCTTTGACAGCTTTACATCTGCTGCTGACTCTGCCTTGTATCCCTTCTCTGTGGGATCTGACTTAAATTTAACATATGTGCTATTCACAAAATTTCAACTGGTATCTTCTCATTGTCCAACAGTAGGATGGTAGGGGAATCCTCTTTTTGGTACAAGCGATGACTTTGGAAATCCTTCTTGTTTTTAATGTGTTGACATACAAGCTCAGTTGCTAGTATGACTTCACCATAGCTTCCTCAGAAGTTCATACCCTTGCACAACTTTTCAGCTCACATTGTCAATGGTTCTCAGAAACTAAGTTAGACACAGTTTCTGTGGTTGTCTATTTCTTGCTTAGCCTCACAGAATGCATTGTTATGCCTGCACTACGTGATGCAACAACATAGCCTGGGTGTGTTGTAATTTGTTGGATTTCTCTTCCTCCAACTGAAACAAAGTTAAAGAAAACCGTGCACTTCCAGAAATCTTTTTTTCTTGCTTCCTCAAAATGTTGTGGGCTATCTTTATATAATACTCACATGCTGTATGTACTTTGGGATAGTTATTGGTTGCCATATTGCATATGAAGAACAACCACACTGTTTAAAATGGTGGTCACAATAGTCAGTTCTTTGTCCTTGCAAAAATGCATTCAGTGAGGCTTCAACAGTCTCAGTTAGCCTGGATTTGTCCCGCCACTGTAGCTTACCAAGCTTTAGCTATCTTTAAAATGAATTCTGCACAGAACAAAGACTGTGGATTTTAAACACCATTTCTTACAGTGTAGGTATTGCTTCACGATTAGTATGGAGATTCATTGCACATATGGGAATTTGAGTACTGTATGAAAATAAACCTATTCTTCAATGCTTGTCAGTACAATGTCACTGTACACATCAAAAGGTTGGAAAGTATGTGGTTCTTTTACTGTTCAATTTTGACCACTTTTTTTTTTTAACTTCCCTCTTCTGTGTTGGACCAGCATGGAAGATTATAGCATACATTGCACAGTGAAAGAACCACAGACAGTTAAATATCCAAATGATTGTTATACTGTAGCACTGAGCATAGCTTACATCATCAGACACAATTTTGGAGAGGAAATTGTTGCACGTGAGGATTGCATAGTGCTTTTGGGGGAAATTTGAACAAAATTCCAACACTAAAATCAATGTTGTTGTTTCATCACCTAGCACAGACTTGAAAGAAAATATTCAATGAGACTAAATGTAAAGATGCTAATAAAATGAGCATCTGAATGTGAGCTGACAAGGCCAAAAACTGAAAGAAGTCTTGGTGAATTAAATAACAGCTTCTGAGCTTGCATGTAGACAAGAATTGGTGGAGATTTTTCCTAAAGCTAAACAGCCTCAATAATACCCAGAAGAATGATTCCATCACTGTCTTACCAGCAGACAAAGGGGAGGGTAACAGTTGTAATGAATACTGAGATGTATGAAACAAAAGCCCATGTGCTTTTAAGTGATGATAACACCTAGAGTAAACTCAAGTCAGATCCTATAAAGCAATATGAGGCTGGCAGTAGTGACCTGATCTGATCTGCTAGAGTTGCACCTTGGCACAATTTATTTGTACTATTGTAGAGAACTTGTACATGGAACATTTTAAAAAAGTGCTTCTTCTCCACCTCACATCTGGTGCTGACAGGAGTATAGAAATGTGTTTTGTAAAACTACTCACACATCCTACATCTCCATTTACAACATAAAGATCAGAGGTGAACACCTTGTCAGTGTGAAGGATAGAGGGAGAGATGCAGCTTGCCTGGGGGCCACTTCAGGCCAACGGGTACAGGGTGCCAATTTAACAGGGACTACCAGAGTCACAAAGAGACATTAAAATCCTGAAGATCTTTGTTGGTACATCTCATGCAACAGCCATAGGTAACACAGTACATTGGTGTAAGGACAAGAGACTGGTTGATTACTGGAAACAAACACCAGCCCAAAACCAGTCAACCAGGAGTTAGTGGATGGAAGGAGAAGAGGGCATTCACACCCAAAGACTATCCTTGAACCCAGATGGGGTTGCATCTGGACCTTGAGTTAAGATTATATTTAAAGTTTGTAATGTAAAAACAGGCTGAGAATCTGAGGGTTTTCTGTCCAACCAGACACCAAAGGAACATCTGTAATCAGTGTTTGGTTAGAATGAACCACTTCTTGCCCTACACAAATGAACGCTACTTTTACTGTGTTTACTTACCAAGCAAAACCAGTGTTTTCCTCTTGAACGATGGCAGTTTGACCACTTCCTCATAAGTCACCAGGTCTAGTTGGTCAAACACTGCAGAACAGAGGAAAAACATTAGGATTGCAGCTATATAAAAGCATGTTTGTATAGAAAATGAATCCAACTGACTCTATAGGTATTACAACAGTCCTGCAATAATTCCTATTTCAGGAGTTTTTTTAAAACAGAGGTGTTAATTCCGCTTAGTTTTAGTGTGCAACGGTGTTTACCACAGAATGACACTCTAAAAGCAGTTTCAACAAAAACTCAACATTCGACATGAAGGTATGAATTATTGCAGGGCTGTTGTACGGCATCAGTTCCCAGTAATGAACATACTCCACAATGAATGTATCTCAATAAATAAATGCAAACCTAATAGAGAATCAGAGGGGACACAAGCAATGCCACTGCTAATGAGATTTTAACATTCATTTCAATGTTTTGTCCCTGTGGCTTAAATTAAATGGGTTTTCAATATTTAAAGCAGAGTTATTCAAATGATGCCATAATGTACATCAACTGCTAGCAAACAAGCACCTAGCAGACTTGAGGAAGGTCAGCTACCTTGAGAAAGCATTAAAACGTGCTTATTTGCACTAACCTTGGTCAGACAGAAAAACATAACCAAGCTGAGCTGACTAGCATCTCTTCAATTTGAATTACATTTCTTATAACAAACCAAACAAAGCAGCTGTCATTGGAAAGTCAAGGAGACATTAGGAAGAGGACGAGGTTTAAAAGCAGAGAGAGGAGGAAGAAAAACACAGAAGCTGGGTGTCAGCTGTCTGGAGTTACTTACATGCAGCCATGTCATTGGGTAAGAGACAGCATGAAATATGGACAAAGGGTGGGAGCGGAAGGGTTAATAAAAAGACACCATAAAAGGAGACAAATTGAACAAAAATAACAGCATAACAAAAACTGTAAAAATCAAAATTAATTGCAATGCTGTTAGTGACTTGAGACAGCAGTAGGAGAGGTCTGTCAGAGGGAGAACAGGCGTGCAGCAGTTACACGTACCGGACAATACAAAGGTGCAACAATGTCATTATTTATCCCACATGCCCTTTAAAACACTTCAGTAAAAACCATCAGATTTTTAAATGCTACAAAAGTACTACAGAATCACCAACAAGTGAGGTTGTGCTCACAATTCAATTATGTGTTGCATCACACTTAGTCAGATGGAAAACTTCCCTTTTGCCTTAGTGAGCTATCAAATGCTTGTAGTGGGTTAGCTTAGCTCTGTTGCACCATTTGTTGGCTTACCTGCATTGTGCTTGGCCAGGTACTTGTCTTTGTACTGTTTCTTCTTCTTACCAAACCAGGTACAACTGGCCTGCTGTTCCTGTTTGGTCTTCTCCATTGCTATACACGCCACACGCCTGAAAAGAACACAGACTGTTTAATTAAATGGCTTTGTCCTTGTCTGCAATTCAAGATTTATTATTATAGATGCTCAAACATGAAGTAAATATTTTATTTATCTTACAATGCTTTCTTAGCCCATGTTATAGAAGTAGCCAGTCATAGCCATAACTTTTAAGCCACTGAAAACTGTTCATAGACCTTTTAGTAATAGTAATAATAGTAGGATAAACACAGGTGTTACCAATTAAAGTTTTGTTGCTATAGCACATGTTGGATCACTGGTAAGACTATGCTACCATAAATGGAACTGAACCTTAATTAATATCATTGGTAACACCTGTGTTTACCCTGCTATTTCATGTCAAAATGGCTGCAGTGAAAAACGTCTATAAAAAAGGTGCTTATTGGTAATGAATGCTGCAGTAAGGCCTAACTTCATGAAGGTTATAACATTCAGTTTGACACAATTCAAAACCTTGTCAACAACAAAAACTGAACCTTATAACCTTCATGGTGGGACTTGTTGCAGGGCTGTTGTGTACCTAATAAACTAGAAACTGAGTGTGAATGTACCTAAAAGCACAGTACAGATAAAAGTGTTTGTTTTTTAGGTGTTTTACTCACCACTCCTGCAGCTCAGGTGAGGGGATGAGGCCTGCGGTGCCATTCTTGGTGTTCTCCAGCTTTCCCTGCCACCAGTTGTGGTCGTCCTTGGAGATGATCTGAATGATGTCACCCACCCGGAAGCGAATGCCTGCCTCCTTACATGGGATGAGGTCGTCTTTCGCCGGGTCATACTCAAACTGAGCACGTACATAAATCTGTAAGGGCAGGACAGCGAGACAAAAGTTCTTAGGTGCTGACACAGCGGGAAACAATAGCGTTGCGATCATAGGAGAATATATGGGAAAGAATATGATGGGCCAAGCTGCCCATATGAAAGGAGACTGGCTGCTCAATCGTTACGGAGTTAGAAATGCGGCGCTGACGTTTGTCATTAAAAGATAAAAAGACAGCAGAGGGAACATCAAGAGCGTAGTGTAAAAGCCAAAGCAGGAAAGGGCACAGACATTCAGATACATGAACAGCAAGACGAAAATGGTCGACCAAAGCACATCTCTGCCTGTGGGAGTATCCGTTTTATCGACGGCTTTTGCGCAGATACATACACATATTTTTTGTTGCCTTTCATGTCCACTGACGAACCAGGTATGAAGACTAAGCCTTGATAGCTAGCATGGGATCTAGACACCACTATGATGAGGAACCGAACTTTGCGATGGGGGGTGGGAGAGGTTGGGATCTACTTCTACGAAGGGTCCACTTAGAGACGTCTTACCTTGATGGACAATTTGTCCTTGATAGCAGGTCTGGAGATCTATGGGGTTGAGAGCATCACACACACACATATATCATGCAGTAGAAAACGTTGGGGGGGCATAAACAAAGGAGGTGTGATGAGGGACCCACAATTGGATGCTATATAACAATGTTTGTACTGCATTTTGTGTGTGTGTGTGTGTGTATGATCTTGTCATGAAACAGACAAAAATGGCCCAAATCAACAAACGAGGAATGCATTTAAGATGAAGTTGTGACAAGACAAGTCAGGGTTCCTAACATTTTCCATCTCAAATTTACTCATTACAAACGTTTAATTTCTTCTCAATGCCATCTGGCAAGGAAATGAGCCTGTCAGTAAGGCCATGTTACACTACAATGGAATATTTTCCAGATCAGGAAACAATCAACATTCGCTCTATTGTTTTGTTTTACAGCTGTGTAGGAATCCTTGCCAATGTTCAAGGGAGGCCAAAGCAGACTTAAGTTGGGACCTGACATTGGAGAGCAATACTCGATGTAAACAAAATAGATGATATGGAAATTGAAGAATGCATGAGAACATACACATCAGTACATACATGCAGCTTGGGACTTGTTGGGTTGAGTGTTAGTTTGTCATATCAGTAGCGCAATGTAAGGCAAAGGGAGGAGAACACAATCTAATTGAAGGAGTGCAGTTGTGAAGTAAAGAATTAGGAAATCTCACCAGACGGCCTTTGGGCTGGATCGTCGACGGCAGATCCTAGTTGGGGTGACACGTTTTTGTGTAAATATTTGTCTTACAGGGACAAAAACAGCTAAAGATGCTTTTACTTTGATACTTGGGGGGAGCTGACACTCATCGTGGTCCAGATTGATAGACTGGTATTAATTATTATGCATTAACTAACTTACCCTAATGACTAACATTTATCTGTGTGCTGTCATTGTGTTACAGCTGATTGACTATAACAAATAAAAACAACAATAAAAAACATATCTAATGTGTTCTCTGGATTTTTTTCCCCTTTACTCGCCTGCTGCTATTTCTGCTGTGTGTAAAGAGCCAGTAAGGAAGAACAGAAACATACCAGGATGGAGCTAGTGACACTAGCGTGACCATTTGCAGGTGACTGCTGGGACAAATCTGGTGACTCTTTCTGCAGCAGAAAATACAAAATCAATAGTTTTCCTCATTTGAATATGCAGAAAAGTATAAAATTGTGTGCCTTTGAATCCCTACCTCACAGGACATGGACTGGGACCTGTAACTGGGAACAATCTTGAAGGTGATGCTACCCCTCATCTCCCTCTGTGTGGACAAATAAAATACATGTTACATATGAGTGTTACATGGAAACAAAACCTAACAATAATAGATCATAAAGACACTGATAGGCCCTGTATTACAGGTTTATTCAATCCAAATTTCTGTTTGCTACCAGAGTGAGACATCTTGCTATGTGTGACATTTCAGACATAGCAAACATGTCTCCCTCTGTTCAAATTGTACTGGAACTACATTAGTCCAACATCTATCTTTCTTTCATTCTATAATACATGCCAAACTGAAATACTTGTTAAGAGAGAAAGGAACTCTAACGACCAGAAAAGCTGCCTGCACAGTCCAAATGATGGAACGTCTGATGTGTGTGACTTACCAGCATCTTTTGGAGCTGTTCTACCGTCTGATTGGCAACGCTGATACCATTAATCTCTCGGATCTCATCTCCTACATGCAGAGTCCCTGAAGCGGAGAAATAATGAATTAATGAAGGCTACAAATGAGGCTCTTGGGTGTTGAAACATCAGTGCTAAGAAAAGCAGAGGCCAGGATAAGACCCGGGGGTTAGTGAGAAGGCTCCAAGGGGAGCCCAACTACTGTAAGGAAGAGTTACATTTCATTGTTATTTCAATTACCAGAAGTTAGTCCAATAACAGAGTGGAACATAGAAATCATTGTAAATTAGTTATAATGTCATCAGACTGACAAAATGAAATGCTGACTTTGCCTACTAAATATGCAAGCATGGTGTAAGGTTGCAGATTTTATATGGATGGATACCTTGTCGATGAATCATTCCACCATGCATGATTCGGGCCACGATACAGTGGTTGAGTTCGTTCATTTTCAGAGTAATGCCCTAAAAGATACAGACAGACAGATGTTCAGAGGCAGAACAGATAACAGATTAGTAACAGTGGTGAGTGACAGTCCCTATACTGCATACAGTAGCTACAGGATAGTCCCAGTACAGAACATAAGCATGCTAAGCTGTGATCATATGCATTTCAACTGCACCCTGATGCATTACTATGTTATAGCTGTGGGAGCAGGGCAATCCATCATAAACCAGTTGGCTCAACCTATTGCAGGGATCAGCAACATTTACTATCAAAAGAAAAAAAAAGGGTTGACTAGAAAGAAGTTGTGAACAGCTAGCTATATTCACCTCTTGTACTTTAAGATTTTTAAGATTTAAGATTCTGTGTCACCTATTCATATATATATATATATATATTCTGAGATATGCAGTGGTTTCACATGTTTCTGTAACATAGCAGCCTTCACAACAAATCACTAGAACACTTTTACTGTGAAGTGGTTGAGGGAACTAACTTATGTACTTATTGTACATCTAGATTTTATTTCAACTTCAAATCTGGTCAAAGAACATGTATCCATCCTGGTTAGATGAAAAGACAAAGTGAGCATGTAAATTCATCCATATTTCAAATGTAGTGTAAGAATCTGCAATATGTGCATCTCTCCATTTGTCTACCCACCATGGGCTCATCAGTGTTCTTCTGAAACTGAACCAGGCGAACCCTGGTGACGTTCTCCAGGTCCATGTCTCCGTTGGTGCTGTCAGGGGAGTCTCCGTTCAGGTAAGGTGAAGTGGGTGGAGGGGTCACCCTCAGTGCCTCGTCGCTGTAGACCTCGTGGGCCACCACATCATGGGTCTGCAGCAGAGCCTGGAGTGTGCACAGACATGGCATCAATGTTAAGACTCATGGATCATGGCTCAGTATCTTAGCTATCCCTGTTTTTTGTATTGGCGAACCCAGTGGGAATGAAGCCCATTACCACTTCAAGTGCGCTGTACACACTGGATGTTTGGCAGCCATAAGTTATGTAAACAATTGGTGTGGGTGGCTGTAATATTGAGAGTCAGACTTCTGTGTGAACAACTAATAAACAGAACTACCACAACCCAGTCAAGAGGAAGGTACATGTGGTTGTACACACAGTATGAATGTGTGTGTGTGTGTGTGTGTGTGTGTGAGAGAGGATAGCTCCAATGTTAGAGTGGCTTACAGTAATCCTCTTTGGGCACTAATCATGTTACTGACACAATGTTTGTGTTGGTTTTTACAAAACACATCTACTAGCTGCATTTGCCAAATGATCACATCTGCTCATCAGAGCAACATCATGTTCACTGATGATACATGACACTCACGGAGAGCTGGAACAGCTGGCACTAGAGGCTTTTGACTTATGCTGAACATTAGTGTGGCTGAAGGAAAAAAAGATGTTTACAAAGGCATCAGCAGTGTTTGACACTGAATACCAACAAAACCACAACATAATTAACAGGGCTCATGAATAAAGCCACAGACTGCACAGGAAAAAAGTTTGAAGTGTAAGAATCTGTAAGTGAGACATGTTTCTTCCCATTAGCTACCATGCAAAAGCCCTTCACAGCCATTTAGGATGAAAAACCCAGCCGCTCAGGTCAGAGAGCAAGACAGGCTAATTGGATTGAACCAAACCTAAAGCGTGACAGCTCGAGTAAGTGTCACAGCCTGAATCAGCACAGGGAAAACACCTCGGCTTCTAACTGAGCTGAATACATGTCAGTATATCATCCTACATTTAGCTGCTGTGCAGTTTTATAATTGACAATAAATCTAAAGAATACATCTACAAAGCAACTTACAAAAGAGTCAAAGTCATTCACTCGCTGAAGTAATTCAATCTCTGTCAACAATATCCTAAATCATTCCTCTCAGGTCTGTTTCAGTCACTAGACTTATCTGACATACATGGTGGTGTTGATGGTCACTGCAAAAGTTTCTGTATATCCACACTGAAGCCAGACTGAAGCCCCTCCGCACGTTTTCTCTTCCTGCCGCTCTAATGCTTCTGTCTCCGTTCTGCTTCCCCTGCGTGTGTCTGTCTCTGCCCGAGGGCTCGCCAAAGCTCAGGTGCTAAGCAGCTTTGTGGCCGAGGGAGTTTATATGGATTGTCAAAAGAGCCCTACTTCTGACACATTAGGCTGTAATCTCACACACCAATAAGCATGCTCTACGTGCACAGACCAAAAATCTGTGTGTGTGATACAGTGTCCCACCATGAAATGTGGCTGTGTGAGGATCCTCCTCAGCTCCTTGGCCTCCATGTTCTCTGGGTAACACGAGATAGTTTCCAGTACCTGGTTGAAGAAAAACAAAGACAAGAAGAGTATGTATATGTTATTAATCATCAGATTACTAGTTTATAGAAGCATAAAGGAGACCTCAGTTTGTGAACCGTGTTCTCATCTTTTACTGAGTGAACATGAGCAGCAAGTTCCTCACCTCTTTGGCTCTCTGCACTCCATCACTTGGAGGGTTTCTGATATTAGGGGACGACCTGGTGTTTATTTTGTCATAAAGCTGAAAGGTAAGGATAATTAACATACAATTAGGCCCCAATGACAATGCAACAGCACAATCTGACCTCAATCAAAGACAATAATGTACAATCTACATATTATTATCGTACAAATACTGTTTGTAGCTGACTCTTGACTTGTCATGACACCTACTGGGCACTTTTGGTATTACACATGAAGAGGTTCTGGTATTGTGGTTGACTCACATCTAACAGGGTGTGGAGGTGCTGATCCTGGAAGACACTGTGCAGGAAGTCCATGTCTTTCTCACTGCAGTCCGTCAATGCATGAATCTCCTCTAGACTGTCCAAAACCTGTGATACTGCCCCTGTGCACACACACGTATAGAAGTTATACACACAAATACAAACTGAATCCCAATCACACAGACACACTCACAAGTACACCAAGCAGTCCCTGCAAACATTCAGCACAACACAAAATGCAAACACTGAACAAGACAGACAGACAGACTTAAACACAAACACCCTACATGTTACACATCCACAAACAGGCAAATAACGACAAATGCCAAAAATAACACAGAACGAAGACAAACAACAGAAGTCAACAGAAAACACAGAAAACACACACAAACACTCAGAACTATTTTAACCCCAAGTACCTGCTGCATCGCCCACACATGCAGCAAAACCAGAGAAACAGCGGTACATGGCATCAATACAACATCAGAAAGAAGTTACTTCAGAAAGTCACAGTGTGGATGATGGGTTAGGAGCAGTACACCCGAAAAAATCAAATATTAAAAAAATCTAAAATACTAAAATATGCAGAGGAAAAAGAAATAGACATAAATATGATATATTATTTCTTAAAAAGTGTTCAGACAAAGGTTTAGCCTTCCATTAAACATGTACCATACATAACATTAAAGTGTAGCTTCCATAGAAGTGAAGTGGTATGTTTAGAGGATGGACAGTGCAGTGTGGTTACCAATACGGTTTCCTCTCCTTAGGAGGAGGTTTACTTTCATAGTCATCTAGAGAGAAGCTTTGACTGTCTGATACATTTGAACCCACAAGCTGATCCTTAAATGACCACAGATTTATTAGCGGTAGATGAGATGATATTACTGTGATCTGAGTTTCCCAGGGCCTCTGCAGCCAAACCAGGGAACCACCCCTACCGTTTACAAATGATTTAATAAACTTTAGTAATAAAGTTTTAACATGGTCCTTAATAGGACGACAAGCACTGGAAAGAAGCCCTGGAATAACAGATGAAAGATGGATATGGAGAAAATAAACCCAATCCTCTGGGATAATGGGCTTTTCAGTCATTACTGTGAGGCATGAAAGAGATACAGCAGAGGAGACAACATGCTATTTAAGTTGTTTTAAACTTTAGAAGAAAAAAACCTTCTGATAGGTCTGTTTACATACATCATACTACTCCACTTAGGGGATCACATTTTAAACAGTTTCCTTACTTGAGTTTCAGCACATTCAGATCATTGATTGGTTAAATCACTAAAAGCTTATAAAATATAATTAAATAAGATAATAGTGTCACTTAACACGCTTTTGAACTAACACCTGGAATACAATATGCTCTGTGTAAAACCTGATAATGATAGAAAATCCCTTTGTTCGTTAGGACGCTGAAGCATGTAAGCATCTTATCCTCCTCGCCTTTGTTTTTGGTAGGTAACAATCAGAATACTTTCTGTGATTGGAATAATGAAGATGCATGTAAACAGAATATCATCTTAACAGGTCAAGAGGAAGCATTTAGTTAAAAAGCGCACACATATTGTTTTTTCTTAAAGAGAGACAGGAGAGCAGACAGAGGGAGACAGAGGGAGCCATTTTGAACGATTAGTACCCACATTATCCAATGCTATGAAGAAAAAAAATGCACATGATGATGATGCCATGATGATATCACACATCAAGATTCTATGGGTGGGGAGGGGGATACGTACTTTCAGCAGCTAGCAGTCCTAGAGACAGCACAGCAGAAGGAAAAACAACACCAAAGAAAGAGAGGCTGAAATTAGAGGTTTACAGCAGCTATGGATCCAGAGTTTTACAACTCACAATGAGAGAAAGAGAGAGAGAGAAATAGACAACAAAGAGTCAGGTAGCCAGCAGTGTAAGGAAGCATGAGGGCAGGTAGGGAGTAAAAGGAGGAATAGAGGAAAGAGCAGCAACAGAGAGAAAAATCAGCAGAAGCAGCCAAGTCTGAATAATCTGCCAAGTTGCTGCAAGCATCTACTCTAGGACACAACTCTATGACGGGCAACACGTCTGGTTTATTTTTGCCATGGTAGACCTCGAGTCACCGGGAAGCATGACTGCAACAGACTGCCAGCCTCAGCAGAAAGGACACACAAGTGGTGGTGTAAGTGTATCTGGCTGCAGCGGCTACATGTACACCCGAGCAGAAAACGTGAGGAGCTTAGCTCATTTTACTGATTCATTAGGCGATGATGTAACAGCGCTGCTCATTTTCTGCTGTTTATAACGGCAACACAAATGGTTTCAATATGCTGATAACTTGTGGAAGATAGTTTTTCTTTCAAAGGAACTGAAAGTCGGTTAATGAGACAGGGAAGTGAAGCTGTTGGGCAACATCTGTCTTCATCCACAGAGGAAGTTCTACACAGACAGCTGGAGATCACATTAGAGCACTAGAATAGAAACCACAAGAATGGAAACTGGGCAAGAAAGTGAAAGTGATCTTTGGTGTATGTGTGCATATTAGAAGGGTTCATCTTTGACCTTACGTAACATCAGTGAACATTCACACAAAGGGAGAGCTAAATCTTTAAATGGATATCACTTCATACCTTAACTACAACATAACTTTTCAATAACACCATTTGAATTTGAATGACATTTTATTGTCCTTTAGGTTATATTCAAGCTTACACTGGCTAACTTAAGATGCAACTATGTCGGCTTTATCATATATATATATATATAAATACATTTTCAAAGTGTGGTTGGCTTTTCAACATAGGTAGCTTATCTGAGCACAGCAAAGGCCGATGTTTGCTCAACTGTGATGGAGCACAGAGCAAAAAGGCTCAGGACTTCGGGAGGGCCAATTCAGTGTGTTTTAACTTCTTCAGGTTGCTTATCCTACCTGCAAAAACTAGCATCTAGAGCTCTCTGTTATAAAAAGATTTGGAAATAACCAAACCTACCTACACCAGGATAGTGCTCTGTTGTGTGAGTTACCTGAGGAGGTGGGGTCATCTGAGAAGTCATGTAGCTCCTCTGGGGGGTCGCCATAGTAGGAATTAAACTTGTGGCTGGAAACAGCAGCAAGCACTGCCCCCTGGGATACAGAGTATAGATAACATAGCTTTTACATAAAGCCTCTACAATGCCCCATGTTGTGGGGCGTGTGTGCATGCTTTGTATACAAGGACAAAATATTTGACAAGAAATGAATCTGGGTCATCAGCAGCAGCTGCAGACTGTGGGAGTGGTGGCATTTCCTCTCATCTCAAGAGTTAATCACAATCAAATTAAATGCTTCTGTCAATGTTGTGCTGACCTTCAGCTTCCTCCTGGCGTTGAACTTCCTCAGCTGCTCCACTGTTTCAGGCAGGTGGATCTTGTAGGCATACCTGTCCCTCTCCTACTCATAGCAAAAACACACATGACATAGCCGTATAAGTTCATGATGAAACCATAAAAACCAGTGTGAGGACATGAGTACACGTACACACACACACACACACACATGCACGTACACAAACAAACATCAGAGGAGTCACAGGATGTGAAAGCAGATGTGGTTTTGCGCAGAAGGAAGTGTTCTTGAGTCAGAAACAGTAGGGCCAGTGTTGAAAAGGGCCTTTAGTTCACCAAAGCTCATTTCGTAAAACACAGCCACCAAATGTGTCTCTTTTTCACCTGATCACAACAGTACACAACATGTACACTGAGAGCTCCTAATTTGTAGTGAATTCATTACTAGCGGATCTATTTGTGTGTGAGATCTTGCCTTCAGCCAAGGGTGGTTGAGGGCCTCGTAGACAGTGATTCTCTCAGCAGGGTCCAGCATCAGCATGCGTCTCACCAGATCCTTGGCGCTCTCTGAGATATGGGCCCACTGGCGCGGGTTCATCTGGGGACACACACACACACACACACACACACACACACACACACACACACACACACACACACACACACAAAACACACACACACACACACACACACACACACACACACACACACACACACACACACACACACACACACACACACACACACACTTTCAGAGGCATGGAGAATATCGGCAACCAAGATCATTTTTATTATAAATGTTTAGAATATCACTGTTGCACTGTTGGCAGAACTCATTATTTACAGGCTTTAGTTTTTTCAAAATAAAATCTGTAAATTTAGCAGCAGCTGTTTAGCAGCAGCTTGATGGCCGACACTGGGGTGTCGTCCATCAAGCTGCCTGCCGTGACTGCATCTGCCACAGATTAGTGCACCACGCAGGAAATTCATACCCTCAGTTCAAAGCACAACATTCTACAGACCTTTATCACACTTATATTATCTTCTGCCGACACTGTCAGTTTATTTATCTCCTCTCACTGGTGTTAGTAAAGGTGAGAAGTATGTAACAATTATCCTTTTTATTGCACTTAACTATCATCAGATGAGGAGTGAGAGGGTAAAAATCGCTCAGAACAGGCGTTCATTCATTAATTGTGAACTGTTCTCTGTAAATAATTTAATTAAAAAAAAAAAGAGTACAGTCTACTCTATTGAAAAGTGTCCTCAGAGAACTTCAGTTATGAATTGGTGCTATACAAATAAAATTGAATTGAATTAATTAGGGCTGTATCAAATCACATCTGGTTGGAAAGAGGGAAACGAGATACATAATACATCTGACCAGTGTCATTCAGCCTCAGTCAGATGTTACCCTTACAAAAATAAATCTTAAATTTGAATGAATGAAAAAAAAAAAAATATGAACACTTAATACCACACTCTTCTGCAGTGATGTAGCACCCACACTGTTCAGTTCTCAGTAACCCTGGAGCTTAACCTTGACGCACATTGCAGCACAGTGACAAAGAGGAGCTTACTATTGTGCTTGGCTGCACCTAAAGGGAGCAGCTCTGGTGCAGTGATGAACATATTCAGTTTGTACACTGACAGACAACGATGGTCTTTGGTAACTCAGCTCCTACCTTGTATTTCCCCTTAATGATAGCCTCAAACAAACGCTCCTTGGTGCCGTAGAAAGGAAGGCAGCCAGACAGGAGGATGAAGAGGATCACTCCACATCCCCACACATCCACTGGTTTGCCGTATGGCTCCCTCTTGACTACCTCCGGGGCCATAAAGTGGGGAGTACCGACTCGACCTGAACAGACACAGACAATTTTAAGAGTGATTAGCTGCTGGGAGTTTCAAGTGTTAATGAGAAATTGTAGCAAGGTGGAAATCTGAAGAGATAACTTGTGTTACAAGGATATGCATGACTATAACATATCGTTTTGAATTAATTCATTCATTGTTTAGTCTATAAGTTACAGTTAAAGAGAAAAGTATCAAATTCTTATATCTGAAAAACTGAAACCAACAACTGTTTGGCATTTTTGCTTGATAAAAAGGACCTAAATCATCAAATTACATTTTTATAACATCAATCTCAGAATGAACTTAATCATTCACTGTAGAAAATCCATCTAAACCAGCTTGTCCTACTTAAGGCTGCAAAGGCCTGGAGCATATCCCACTATCCATTGGAAGAAAGGCAGGGTACACCCTGCACACCCCAGGGCTAATACACAACCACATCCATGTCTAATTCACAATTACATACACATTTTCTAATTGGCCTAATCTGCATGTCTCTGGAGCTGCTGGAAGAAACCCACACAAATGTATTGTTCATCTTGTTACCACAAGTTTTCTCTGAACATTTCTTTTTAGTCTGATCCACAGCCAATAAAAGCCATTTTGTAATAACATGGACATTTAAATAAGCAAGCTGATCTTTAATTCATTATAATGATTAATAAAATATTACAATTCATTCCAATAATTCTTACCAATAATAATCCTTTAAATAATACTAAAATATTTCAGTATGTGTCTGTCTTTTTTGGGGGATAATTTTTGTCATTTTATTTTGTTAATTTAATGGCCTCCGAGGAACACGAGAGAGCCGCTCCTCAGTGACAGACTCTCGTTACAGCACAGAGAGGCTGCAGGGAAAAACTGCATGTAGAGTGTAGTGACTGTACCAGTGGGAAGATTAAGCAAGATGGTTTGGTGAGTTTTATTTGTTTCCGTCGAGTTAACATGTATAGTGGGAAGGCATGAGTGTTTTCTCAGTCTTTTGAAGGTGTAGAGGAAAAAAGGGTCCCTAGTACAGTACCTCCAGCTACTAAACCAGACTCTCCCAGCTGTATTGCCACTCCAAATCCTCCGAGCTTGACTGGAGCAGAGTTCTCCTTTGAGGCCAACAGCACACAGTGGGGCTACAGAGGAATAAAACAAGATGGGTCAATGAATGAAAAAGACATATATAAGACTAAGACTATATTTCAACAGGTTCAGTGAGAGACCATCCTAGTAGGACTCAAATGATATTCCCTCATTAAACTGTAAGAAGCTCTGCACAAAATCCACAAACGAACGTGTGATGACTTATTCTTTTTACTGACTTTGCAATCTAAAGTAACTGTGCAGAGCATTGCTTTGCTCTTTCTGTGCAGAAGTGCACCATCCCATATGTTCAATTTCTGGTTAGCAAACCTGGTTTCACAAGTACGAAATGACTCGCTCAACAAGAACCACAATTTTATTATGATGCTGACAGACAGGAAATGGTTCCTGCCCAAGGATTCAGTCCGTACACAAGGGATGGTAAGCATCGAGTGAGATGCATGAGATTTTAAGATGAGAAAGACGGGGCTTTCAGAAACCCTGTAGTGCAAGGTGTTAAATGGCATTTTATTGATGAGGAATTACTGTTTCATTACAACATACAGCAGGAGAGAATAGATTTTGTTCTCCAAATTACAAGCCCTTGCATACTATAAGATGGAACCTTACAAAATTGTACTGGATGGAAAGAAAGATAGCAACCTAACAACCTTGAGCAAGAGAAATAACAAAAGTCTAAAGAATTACTGAAAGAGAGAGGAAGGTGAAAGAGAGAAGTGATTATGTCCCTTTCATCCATTTTCTGTTTCAGTATGTATTTGCACTTAGATAAGAATACATCTGCACATTTAACCCTATTTGCGTAGGATTAATATTGCAGAAGGAGGCAGGTTAACAAAATATATGCTGTGCCCAGGGTAAGTAAACGCATTTTATAGTTTTAGCCAAAAACGTTTATCTACAGCATGTGGTTTGCAAAACACAGACATTAACACTGATAATCATGCGAGCGTCCTTCTCCAGCAGCCTTATAAAACAACTTACTTGATATAATCTTTAAAGTTAAACATCAGTTTATTCTAACAGATAGTTGCAAATACTCAAATGTGATGACTCACAAAGAACAAGAACAAGAACTCTTAACTGGTGTTAATAAACGCCCATCTGTCATGTTAGAAAAAAAAACCACAATTTCAGCAATTTGCATTCAAAACCTGAGATGCTGTTTGAAAAACTGTCTCTCGGGACAAATTCTAGGAGGACCAAAGGGTGTGCTGAAAAACAAACTTTTGTGACTGTAATCAATACTTGTGTGTGTGTGGGGGTCATACATGTCGTATGAACACCAGACAAGATTATTGTCCGATCTGTGCAGGAAATATTTAAAACACACCGTAGATAAATAAGAAGTATTAATGCAAATTGAGGTCATTTTATTTTTTAAAAAAGAACAGTGCAGCGCAATACTGAGTAGATCTGCATGACAAACTCAGGAATAGGGTGAGAGTGCGAGCGCCGGTGGTGGGCTCATTTCCTGCCTTCACATTTTTTTTTCCACTTCTCGTAACAGGGGAGCTGAGGGGCGTGGAGGAGGTTGACTGAGGCAGTGACGGGGAGAGGGAGAGAAAAACTAGAGGCAGAGACAAGAAGACCTTCACACAAAACGGTCAAATCTGGGAGCGCAAGGCAGCGGGACAGAGAAAGAGAGGACAAGGACAGAAACGGAAAAAGACTCAAGGCAAGCTGCGCACTGAGAGCTGAGAGGAGCACGGAGTGGGGCAGACACCGTCACAGGGATGTGAGAAAAGAGGAGTCTGCAAGATTTCTGACTCATTCTGATTCAGTGACTGAGAAGAAAGGTAAAGATAGCAAAAGAAGTGACAAGGATCGTGGCTGTATAATATTTTAGATGCAACTCAAGCTTTTAACAAATTACAATTTGATGGAGGAAAAAAAACCTGCAGTGGACTGCTGTGCTCTCACACCTCTCTGCACGTTCCCACACATTTAAACTGCAGCTGTGCTGAAGGAATATTGATGGTGAGTGTTCCACATTAATCCAAACATCTGTGTGTAGCCGTCACTCTGCACTTGTGTTGATGTATGAGCGTGCATGCGCGTGAATCTACGCTCCTCGGCTTTATATACCATGGGACAGGAATTTATGCGTTAAATAGGCATGAAAGTTTCAATTAGTCATGACCCATAAAAATCTATAAAGTACAGAAAACAGAACTGTTGGTTAGAAGGACATTTCTTCTCTTTTGTAAGGTGCTGTACCTTTTTCATGCTGTTGCATAAATTACTATTATTTTCGTTTCACACCAACAATTAAATGTCTGACCTTTAACACTACAACCCACATATTATTCACCTGACTGAGCACTACTTAGAAACTACGTCATTGCAGTTCCACACTAAGGGCACTGCTTTTGTTCCTCCCTTTAACGCTCGCTGCTCAAAATCTGCTTGTTTTGTTTTTATTCAGTGACAAACAACAAATTCACCAATTGTGTTTGATGTTTTTTTTTCCCTTTCTCAGAGCCTAATGATTAACAACCCATGGACACAATGACCACCTTCTCCTCTGCCTCTCCTCTCCCCTTAGCTTTATCTAACTCCTCTCTTCCTATCTCTGCTACATCCCTACCCGCTTCAATGTCATCCTCCTTTTCTGCCACCTCTCCTTTCTCCATCTCCAACTCTTCCTCCCCGAACCAGAACTGTTCGTTTGATGATAAGGCCCTCCGTATGCCGCTGGCAGTCCTATATTCCATATTCTTCATCTTTGGGCTCATAGGCAACCTCTTCGCCCTCTGGGTGTTCCTTTTCCTGCCTTCAAGCCGCAACTCTGTGCGGGTCTTCCTCATCAACTGCGCTGTGGCTGATCTGGTCCTCCTGGCATGTCTGCCCTTCAGGGTTTTCTACCATGTTAATGGAAACAAGTGGGTGCTGGGATCTGTGGCCTGCAAGATGGTGGGGAATCTTTTTTACATGAACATGTACATCAGTATTACACTTCTGGGGTTCATCAGTTTGGACAGATACTTGAAGTTACAAGGAAAAGGCAGAACACGGCGAGGCATGGAGTTGACGCTGTTTGGGCAAAGCTGGCCGTGGAGCTGGGTGGCATGCGGGGCTCTGTGGGGTCTGTCACTGGTGGGACTGGTGCCCATGATCTTCATGGCTGAGGACAAAGACTTCACTGACAAATGCTTCCAGTACAAGCAGCGTAAAAGCAAAGCCAAAGGGAAAGCCTACTTCAACGGCGTACTGGTGATGTTTTTCTGGCTCATCTTCATCATGATAGTGGTCTCCTACGCTAAGATTGCATGCCAATTGCTTAAGGTGTCAAGGGACAAGCCAGACCTTCCCAACGCACAGAGATACGGACGGACCGCCAAGAAGTCCTTCTTTGTCCTGTTCTTGTTCACCATCTGCTTCGGGCCCTACCACGCCTTCCGCCCTGTCTACATCGCCTCCCAGCTCAGCAGTGCATCTTGCGACTACTTGCAACTGGTGGACCGTACCAATGAGGTGATGCTGTTATTCTCTGCCTTCAATAGCTGTTTGGATCCAGTCATGTACTTTCTGTTGTCTGGCTCAGTGCGCAAAATTGCCCTCCAAACACTTGGACACCGATTTGGCAACCGGTTTCCGTTCCTGAACGACGCAACATCCAACAGCTCTTTACCCATCACCCCCTCAGCCACCCCCAGAACAAGTATCTGCATCATCAACTCCACCCTCCGCCGCACAGGACTGAATACGCTTCAACCTACTCAACAAACAGTGATCACAAATAATGCACCGGAGAAATAAATATCTGATATTTCTAACGGGGCCAAACTAGTTGGCCAATTCTCTTTAAAACTGAGCAAAGCATTTTTACTACTTCTGTTAAAAAGAAAGTGTGTGTGTGATTTTAATGCCTGACTGAAAATACCGTGATGTGTGGGGATGAGCTCCAGTGACTAATATGACCGGTACTTTTCTGTATATAGCACGTGTGTTTCCCATCAGAGAGATAAATGTGTATATTAGTAACAATAAATTGACTGTATCTTTGAAATGTCCTTAATTTTGCCCTCTTTTGTTGTAGTAATAATATGATCTTGTAGAGAAGAAAGAAAGACTTAATTTAGACTGAAAACCTACCAATTTGTCCTGATTGTGTTAAAAGTAAAGCAGTAAGTTAATCAATTAGCTGTTAACTACAATATTAATTGGCAACTATATTAATATTTACAACATAATTATTATTAATTAAATCACATTGAGAACCAAATTCTGTTGTTTCAGCTTGTCAAATGTTTTTTGGTTTGTTTAGTCTGAAACTAAATATCTTTGGGTTGTAGACAGACCAAGACCATTTTTTTTACCATTTTCTGGACCAAACAAGTAATGAATTCAGTGAGAAAATGATTGAAAGATTAATCAATAATGAAATAATCGTTAGTTGCAGCCCTAGTTAAAAACCACCAAACCACCCATCTAGAACGAGATGAACAAACCAGAACAAACATCATCAGTAATGTGCAACCATCATTTCACCCAGGTCAACTCACCAGCACACACAGCCATTAGTATTACTCTGAAGACAAGGCTGTGTGATCCCCTTGGGGACTGTGTGTGCGTGGATCAAGGACCTGGTTTGGGACTGTTCCATCTGGTCTGGTGTTGTTTGCCGTCTGTGTTAGATGGCTAATCTTGTTGTAATTACTGGTTGATGCTGATCTGACCAGAAGAACATCTAAAAAGGACTGGCCTAGCATTTGACATTTCATAAAACTCAGCATGACACAGTGGTTTGCAAACCAAAGGGGTTTCCAGGAAGTTAGACTGAGAAACAGCTCACTGTAACTAGAACTTAATGTAAAAAGCGAATGTCAACGGGTGCATTTCCTGTCACAGTCTAATGCTTTTGACCTATCTCCCCACAGACATCTACAGAATATTGATAATCAGCTGAAAACGGGGTTTTCACATTAGCACATTAATGTGAAAAGGTTGAACATCCTCAGTTAATCAGAGTCAGTTAGGTGACACATGTGGTTTCAGTGGTTCAGTTTTGGAAACCTGGGACTGAGCTCACCTTTACATCACGATGAATCACATTGTTGTCGTGGCAGTACCGAAGGGCCTCCAAAATCTGCCTCATATAGTGGCTGGATGGACAGAAAACAGAAACGGACAAGAGGGAGATCATTTAGGGCTTCCACAAATTGTTGTTTATTTCAAGCTTTATCAATATTTAAAACGTTCTTCGCACAGTTTCCACACTGCGTGTCCTACCTGGCCACTGCTTCGCTGTACACAAAGCCAGCATCGGCTCTCTTCACAATTTCAAAACACAGATCCGCCCCATCCATGCTGAGAAAGGTGAAAGAAAGGGAGAAGCTATCAAGATAACGGTTTACACAAGAGCAGATGAACTAGCAACTCTCAAAATGGTGTTTAAAACAGAGTGCATAAATCTGCACCCGTCAGGGAGCAATTTTATGACCTGCTGTCACTGGCACAGACACAGAGGCACTAGATTTTCATTAAAGCACTTTTTAGCCAATATAATCCCTGGGGAAGCTTTCTGGAGGATATAAGATACAGATGTACGACATAAAATCCACACAGAGGAACAAATTAACAGTGCAAGTTGATTAAGAAAATTATATTTACAACAAAGGCCGGGGGGAGAAGCAGAGAGATGTTCCTCCAATGTCTCTAGATTAAATAATGTTATTTTGATCGTTACTGCGCAATTAGGCAGAGCTGCAATCTAACAACGTCTGTAATATTCCATATGATTTTTGTTGCTACTTGCCATAAAAAAGGCATTTTAGCACTTCTCATATTTCTTGCATTTGTGTAATATATATATAACTTAACTCTAACCCTTTATTAGATATTCAGATATATCATTAGTGCTTAATATTTTACCCCGGCAGAGATCTTCAGAACAGTACACCAAAATTACAAAAATGTCTACTAAGCACCTTAGACACAAAACCTTGTCTTCCTCTTTTAAGCCGGTTACCACTAAAATGGGGGGGCTGGTAGAAAGACGTGTGAAAGAAGTGTGAAAGAAGTGTGAAAGAAGTGTGAAAGAAGTGTGACATTACCAGCAACAATCTGCCAAATGCTGATAATTTTAGTCTGTGGCTGTTTAACTTCCACACACTATTTAGAGTACACTATAGTTTTCTTCTTGAAAATATGTATGCATGCGACCAGCCCAGCAGCTGTGGTTGGTGGGACAGATGTTTCCTGGTAACATGATGTATTGTGGCGTGACAGAGTGCAGAGCGTGGACTTACAATTCAAAGACCATGTAGAGCATGCCATCGGAGCTATAGGTCTCCAGCAGCTCCACGATGTGGGGGTGTTTCAGCATGTGGCAGATGCTGGCCTCCCGCTTCAGATCTGGCAGGTGGAAATTAGACAAGAGGTACAGTGAGATATTGTTCACATCCAACAATTAGCATTCCAGTGTAATTATAGTTCAGCTACAGCTTGTGAGGGAAGATCAATTTTATCAGATTTTTTAATAACAATTCAGTTTATTTCCCATCTTTTTCCCTAATCCTCAATGACAGTAAACTGAATATCTTTGGGCTGCAGGCAAAACAACACATTTGAGGAAGCAGTGATCTACATTTTCCCCATTTTCTGGATTAAACAACTAATCAATAAATGGAGAAAATGATTGACAGAGCAATCAATGAAAATAATCACTGTTTGCAGCCCTATTTCCTCCAAATAAAGTATGCAGAGCTAAAAACAGATGTGTAATGCTCAACCAGAGTCACACCAACCAAACCCATAACAAGTACAGTATACAGCTTTTTTTTTTTTTTTTTGGGGGGGGGAACTTTAGCTTCTGCCTTGTTTGGGGAAGTTATATTTATCTTTATGTTCATTATCATGTTTATTGGAAGTACCATGATAAGAAAGCACCAAAAAAAATTAGATGACCTTTAAGTGAGAGATTTCCCCGGTGTTCATTTGAGAAAGACAGACTGAGATGCTCTTTTGTGGTCGGATGGTGTTTTGTTAAGTCGTTTGACGTCCCTTGGTGACGAGAGGAGATGAAAAGCGAGGAGGACGTGCCCAGCACCCTCCTCTTGTCACACCTCAACTTCACCACCAGAGGGAGTTACAGAGCATCTGATTTACAGACACAGGGATTCCTCTTACACATACTCAGCAAACGAGGTGAATTTTCCCGTTTCACATGTGAATACCGGTTTAATTGCACATTTAAATGCACATCTGGCTTGCGCTCATCAACATCACACGCTCTCGTTATCACCACATCCAGATCCACACCGCAAATACAAGTACAATATGACTCTGTGGCATTACTCGTCTTTTGACTGCCTCATTAAAGAACACAACACTGATGAGAAAAGACTGCTAAGACGAGTGGACCGTCCTCTCTCTTTAAAGAAAAGGAAATGCCACTCGTCTCCCCAGTTGTTGGTCATTCTATTCAATATTGTGCAAGACAGAGACGCAGCCTGCTGAGGAAGGCTGACATAATGTGCTGTTGTTGAGCTCCTCACTCCATAAAAACCTCATTTACACACTCCACTCCCCATCTGCAAGTCTACTGATCTTCGTGTGTGTGTCTGTGTGCGTGTGTGTGTGTGTGCTCATTGTGTCGTGACAGACCAGTATCATTATGCAACAGAGAAATAACGCTGTGTCCCCACTACAGAGCCCCCATTCTACTGTTCCTTTGCTTTCATTATTTCTCTCCTCTGCTCTTTAGGCCCGTCTCATCGAGTATCTATTCTTTAACCCAACAATGCTGCCCAGTGTCCGCACGGTAACGAGGAAACCACTCAAACAGAGGGAGGGAGTAGAGAGGCCTGGAACAGTGTGAATGAAGCCAATGCCATCCGCTGGGCCTATTCCAAATCAATTCCCGTATGCAAGGTCCAGGCTAGACTAGGCTTTGTGAGGCAATGTTAAAGTCCCCGTCCACTTATAATTATGTGTTTCTAGAGTTCGACAGTAGAAGGATGTTTTCACATTCGTCTGCTGAAAATAGAAAGCCTACGAGCATGATTTGTGACATCACATAGTTTGGATGTCAAGCTTGGTCCAATTTGCAACTTATACAGTTACAAGTGTTATGTAGAAACTTGAAGCCCCCAGTGCACATACACAGAGTACAGTAGGATCATCTTTTAGAAAACTAAACTAAATTTGCATATTGATAGATTCTGGAATCATTAATGAGGTGGAAGGAATAGAAATTACCTTAAAATTACACATTTTTTAGTGGAAAGAAAGATATCAGACACACATTATTGTTCCATGCAAACTATTTGAATATATGTCTTAATACTTGTCTGGAGGAAATCTTTGAATAATTTCACTCAGGTTTGTCATAGGTGGGTTTTGAAGAAAAAGATGGCTGTGGGAAAACCAGCTGGTGTTAGTTTGTCTGCGGTACTGATGAATTACATTTCCAATATGTTCATTACCTAAAACTTAGAATTCTCTTCTAACTAATAAAACTGCAAATTGAACTACTGTAGTTTTCTCAGAAATCCAATACCCATAAAGCTTTAATGTTGATTGAGAGTGCTCACTAGTTCACTCTCTATATTCATCTTTATTAAATTCTACATATCCAGACACTCACTCACTCCGCTTTTGTGCAACACTCCCAAACTCTTAATTACACCATTAATCATTTGTTCGGCCAGCTCCCTCACACTGATATATTCATACACAACTATGAATGTTTGTTACTCAGCTTGTAGCAGGTCAGCCTCTTTTTCCTTTTCACTCACATTTATGCTGACGCAGATTCTTTCTTAATAAGCTAGGGTATGTGGTCTGAGGAAACCACTCTCAAAATCTGGCTGCGCTCCAGTTCTCCACCAGGACACTTTCAGTGGCCCCTTGCTTATTTCCTCTAGTGCAATTTTTTAAAATGTCAGAAATGTGGGTGTCAAAAGTTCACTTAATATTTAGGATAGGCAATTCTGTTTTTACAATATCCCATATACTGGCTATGGGAAATTTGATATAATTATTATCTGGTTTTCACACATCATGGACTTAATAATTAGTTGCAGCTCTAAGTAGTTGTTATGAAGGGCAAATAATGTCACAAAGTTTACAACTGTGATGAGTATCTCTCATCAGGTCTATTTTCATAGCTCAACCACAGGCAGAAAAAATACCTAATTATTTCTCTACACAGAGATGCAGCAGATAGAAGAGGTTATATATGTGGCTTATTTCTTCTGAATCAGCTGCAACTAGTTAGAACTTTTGAAACCGTTATTAAATCCTTATTGTCATTAACTGCTGACTTTTTGTTTTACTAATTAATTATTGTCTATAAAATAGAATAAGTCATGACAGTGCTCATTACAAATCACCCCTAAAACCTTTACAGGTGGAGTTAATGATTCTAGGTAATGTGATTCTAAACCAATACACTTTTTCTCAATTCAGTGAATATCTCCTCACGGTCCGCTAACTTCCTGATAATTACGCTGTGTGTCTGTGTGCGCGCAACTGTAGCAACAGTTCAATAACCCACAACTAGCTAACGTTACATTACTCCCTGTGTCGTTGCTCACACTATATCATGGTATTTGAAATCTCCAGAATCGCTTAGCCCACCTTCTTATTCTCAACACATATTCTGTACAAGTGCAACTAACCAGAGGGTGAAGGTAGGTCATGGTTCTAAATGTCCAAGGTAAGACAAATTCTTTAGGTTTATCCAGCCTTTCAGGAGAACTACTTTAGTCTGGGGATAATAATATACTAGCATCCAAAATTATGTGGGACAGTCTTTATTTTGGGAAACACTGGTGTAAATCTCTATTCTACTGTTTCTCCTCCCTTGGGTCATTTCCTTGTCTTGCTGTTATTGGCTACCAGGCTAATCTCTGACTGGGCCATCACAGATGGCACATGGTGAACGCCAACATTAGTACCAACACACACACACACACACACAGGCCTCAGCATGACAAAGCACAAAACCACATGGTGAGACATGTCATGCTTCAATATTTCACGCATACCCACCACAACATAACCAACAGACACACAGACACACACAAAGGTCTATACACACCGACACACAAACAAATGCAGTTCCAACACATTACTCATCTGGTTGCAGCATGTGTGACATTATGCCTCACTTATATGTGTGTGAGACTGCCATTATACACTCTGTGTGTGCCTCGCTGTTTGATATCAGAAACAAACAGTATTTGCAGATTATTCCCAACATTTGTTTTAACCCACAAGGAGAACACAAGGTGGGTGTGCAGAAGAGCACAGGAAACGAACCACAAGTTAGTTAAACTTCTCAAAGATGTAAGTAAGTCTGTTTTAATTCTCTGTGATTGACAACATCCTTGACAACTATCCTCTCTTGTCCTGATTCTGTTAACTCCATCCATCTGGTGCTTCAAGTGTACAACAACAAACGCTAAGACTTAATTGCCGCCCCAGTTCAAACCAGGTCTGCTGTATTTCTCACCTTCTGTGCTGAGGCCGGGGCTGGAGGTGAAGCTGGCCACATCGACGATCTTCACAGCAAACTGCTGGCCCGTATCCCTGTTGATGCATCGCCTCACCACGCTGAAAGGACCCCTGCAACACACACACACACACACACAAGCTGAGTTAGTCACAGACACCTACAGAAAGATACAAACGCAAATCTGAAACATGATTTCTCAGATTCAAACACAGGATGGCTATCTTTGACCAGCAGGTTCTTCGTAAGGCCAGGTCCATACTGGACTGTACCAACCACCCCCTTCACCTTCAGTTTGAAATTCTTCCCTCAGGCTGTAGATTTAGAGTACCAAGGTTTTAGTGCAATGAGAGTATAAACTCCATATTCCAATATCCCTGCTTAATTTGTACATGTCATTTTATAAAATCCTATTTTAGCACCTTGCACATGAAATTATCCATCTCTTTAGCATTGTTGTTCCTATTATGGTTAGACTGTATATTATAGATGAGGGTATTTTTTGTTTTTGTCTGTACTGTAATAAAGATAACTGAACTGAACTGAATAGTTCTAAATTCAGCTAGCACTTACCAGAAACACATGTACACATAATCACATCTACACAACACACACACCAACCTAGTGCAATGGGCAGACATAGTGCCATTTTTGTGAGTACTCTGGATTTACAGTGCGTGGCTAGCTACGCATCGTAGGCTCTGTGCTCGTGCCAGTGGGAATTATAGAGCAGTGGTGTGCAGCACAGCTGTAAAAGCTAAAATAAAAGCTTTATTATAGAGACCTGAGCAAGGGAGACCTACCCTACAGGGTTTATTTCTGGGAAAATGAGGTATGGCAGATATTGTAAGGTTGTGTTGCCTGATATAACTGCAATGGGGCAGACATATGGAAGCTATAAAGGCATGTTTTCCTGTTCAGTGTCCAATGGGATGCAAGGAATATAAACTAGACGTTAGCTCTGCTGAAGATTTTTGTGGCAGATGTGAGATTTTTCCCATAATTGTGGTTTTTAATAAGAAAATCAGCTCTGTAGCAAAGGAAAACTCATATCGACACATTTCTTTCAATGACAGTATTTCCAGGAATTAACACACTTTAAACCCCATAGAGAATGAATGTTATTAGAAAACTAACACTATAGATATTAGCAGATGTAATCCCATAAAACAAAATGTAAACATGTTTTTGGATTATGTGAAACAAACAGCACATTATGTGATTTTCTTTCTTTTTTTTTTCTGAAAACACTCTGGGTAAAGATAAATAAATATAAACAGTGATGCATTGCTTCAGTTTACTTGTTCTTTTAGTCTTACTATGGTTTATGATTTATAGGACTTACTTTTCTCTAGCCCCTCTCAACCTGCAGCTGATGCCCTCCAGGAGGCACTATTGGTCCCTGACCACCAAATCATCCAGTTTTAAAACCAGGTTTTCCCCCCACTGAAATGAGAACTCTGACAGATATACCTAAACTTAAAACTCCTGTAAAAATCCTGTAAATATTGTCGATACATTCTTGTCTTGTGGTAATGCATGTATGTGGTAGTCAGTGGGCCTCATGAAATCAATTCTAGATGCACCAAACATTCCTAACCACCCAATTCTGCTCTTACCCAGGTGTGCTGAATGATGAATCCCACTTGATTTTTAATTGGAGGCGGATGGCTGCTGTTTGCATAGGTCACGCCCCCTAAACACTATATAAGGCTGTCTGCAATTACTGCGGCTCATGGCCAAGAATTGGAGTGACGCCACAATAGATGGATAGATCGATCGATAGAATACACTATAGAATAAAAAAATAAACACAAATAACGAATGAATTAAAATAGCTCGATACAGAGTTTAAGCAAACATATGAGTTATCTATAAGATATTGTTATATTGGTCATACATATGATACGAAGCAATATCATCTCAGATTTTTATAGTTTTAATAGCGATCAATGGAGCGATAGTATTTCTTAAGCCCACAAATTTAATAATGCAAATCATTCTAATAAAACATATAGTCTAATCTGATTATATAATATTCAGGCCTTTTTTATGTTCCTCATATTTAAATGTTTCCTCGCATTGGACAAACAATTTATGGACTGTGAAAACGAGATGTTTTTTCCTTATCTTGGTAAGAGTGCTCTCGACCACTCGTAAAACATTCTCTTACCTAAGAGAAGAGCAAAAATAAGAAAACACTGGTGAATCCCAGAAATCAATGGGTACTATCAAAAATAAGACAACATTTGTTCATATATAGCTTCTTGCCTGAGGCCCAATGTGTCTTATGTGATGTTGATATCTATGTCTGATGTCACTGATACTGTTGTATTGATCTTACCTACCATGCTGTACCAACAGCAGATTCCACCAACCTCAATCTTGTGGTCATTAATAAACAATGGATTGGATTTTCTATAGTACAGACTGTGGCAAAGTGCCAGAAGTGTAGTTTCAATTTCTTGGTTGAGGATAGGAAATTTGATGAAATAATTGATATCCACTGAGTAAAGTCAACAGGCAGAGGACAATGCTGTCAACTTCAGATTGACTGACAGTCATTGTATTGTCTCAGTGATGCAAAAAGCACCAAGAATGAGATAAAGTCAGTAACAAAGTGGCGGGAACAGGCACTGAAAGCCAAGACATTTGCACATTTTCTGTCTCCTAGCGCACACACACACACACACACACACACACACACACACACAGACACACACAGACACACACACACACACACACACACAGACACACACCCCTGCCGTGTTACAGCTGTCTCCACATCTCCAAAGCCTGCAATCCTCAGAGGCGAAACCAATGCTACTGGAGACACACACACACACACAATAACACCCATTTGGTAAAGCAAAGTGGTGGCCATTAACAGGCGTTGGTTTAACTGAATTAGCAAATGAAGTTGCCTGACATGTCAGTGTCAAACCAACAGTAGAAGCTGTTCATGTTGAGAGTATGGGAGCTACAGCTGATTTGCTCTGGCATTTGTCTCTCACATCTGCTGTAATGATTAACCCATACAAACAAACGCAGGCAGCAGTGTGTGCGTGCTCTGGGCCGAGAGAACCGTAAAACACAACACTCTTTTCTTCAGCGTCCACAAGAATCCTGCTGATGATCTGACAACCCCAACGACCTTTGCCCTCCTGGCTTGATGCGCTGTAGCAGCTGTGTTTCCTGTTAAGCCCTCAGAGGTTTGGGGGTGCTTCTTGAGTGCAAATAAATGAGCTTCTGATGCCCCCATTCCAACCTTACAACAGATTCAGGTCTGTCTGAATGGTGAAGGTTTGGGGGAGTGCTGCTACCACAGGGATACAAATGATGCAGTGAGGGTAAGGCCATCTTGGCACTGATCTAATGTGTGTCAATAAAACCCATTACCGCCATTAAGCAATGAGGTGGGATTGCGTGAACCTGCCAGATTTTATGCATCAACCCCATTTGTAATCTTGGCTGTCAATTCAAGGGAGCTGCATGGAGAATCAATTCCCGAATGGGGCTGTTTTTCTACAACAGTTGTGTATTGCAAGTGAAATGGAGGTTGGGGCCGCCATTTAATTTCATAAATTAGAATGCAATTCATCTCATTATCTGGAATAAAAAAAAATTAAATGACCATTCAGCCATGTACAGTAGCTATTATAGAGGCATTATGAAAGAGTGTGTAAGGGAGAGGGACAGAGAGAAGGAGAAAAAGAGTGTGAGTTGTGTGTGTGTGTGTGTGTGTGTGTGTGTGCCTGAGTGTGGGGAAGTGGAGAGGCCGCATGCCATACTGACATCACCGCAGCTGTGCTGAGTGGGCTCATACAAAACGCCCACACATGGCTCACATCCGACAGCGGCACTCATCAAACTAGTCCAAAGTGGCAATCTTTACAGACTGCTCCTTGGCTCATTTCAACTCTGTGCTCTATGTAAATCAAAGACTGGATATTAGGTGCATTTTTAACATCCACGCTGGCTACGAGCCAAATTTCCTCTCAGGTTTTCTCTCTCCCAAACAGGGACGGGACACATCTGTAGCTGCAGACTCATCACCAGTACTGCTCTCCTGAGAGAAAACCATCTTTGCTTAAAGCAGCAGTTTGCTCTTTAGCTGTCGCAAGCAGCTAGCATAATTCACACGTTGGTCTGAATTGGGGTGGGGAAATGTTTGTACAGCTGCGAGATACAGAAACATAATTTGTATGAGTTTTCTCAGGTGGGCAAACTATTGGGTGCTGTTCCCATGGCGGGTTCTAATCTCGAGCCAAGAAGTAAATTACATCTTATCTGGTCTGTCATTGTGCACATTATCATCCGTGGCATTCAGTGACAAGCCTACGCCAGTAATTTTCTCCACACCATCATTTTAAGTATTTTCTGAAATTGCATTCAGCAAACCTCACGACTAACATGCAACGCCATAATGGTTAACAACACACTGAGATCAATAGCCATGTGTTAAATAAATACAGGTATCCAGTGGCTGCAAAGGGGAGGGAAGTTAAATGTAGTCTGTGATCATTTCAGGTATAAAAAAAAACAAAAAACAACTGAGTTAGTGGTGATGCCTATGGATACACAGAATTTGTAGAGGCGTGCGCTTCCAAAGAGTAATGAATGACATAAAAAGCGATTTCAACAGAAGGCTTGTAGGGTAAGTGCTGTTTGCCCTACTGCCCAAACTGAGCTCAAGTGCAAAGCTGTTAATTTAACAAGTTCAACAAAGTTCAGTGCTGTTCAACTGTAGTCTGTGAATCTCTGAGCAACAATAATCCAGAGTGCTTCCTCATGCAAATTAGAGGAACAGCCTTTTGAATATTAGCGGGGAAATTAGTATTCCAGTTGCAAACTGAAATTTAGAGCAGAGATGCCCTCCGGAGGTTCTAAAGCTTTGGAAGAAAATCCTTTCCCCTACATGAGCCAGAAGAGGATCCAGGTTTGTTTAAACCACCCTGTAGAGTCTAGCCTAGTGTGAGCTGCTTCAACTTCACACCATCCATTCACAACTATTGATCTGCTGTGTGTGGGCAGCTCAAAAGGAGCATATTCTGTACGTTGTGGGCCTGAAAGAAAGTGCTCTAGTGAAGGAAAACAATTAAGATTACTATAC